CGTAACCACCACATCTAAGTCAGGCATCAGGAGGAGCACAAGGCACAGAAAACTGCGTGGCGAAAAAGCCCTCATCGTTTCTGCCAATCAGACGCTCAAAGATCTCAAGATCCAGGTCTGACCATGATGAAATGTTTCTTTATTTTTTTTAAATTCTGTTTTGCAACATCATTTCAAATGATTGCCTCCACAGATCATGCACGCGTTCTCAGTGGCTCCATTCGATCAAAACCTTTCCATAGACGGACGCTGTTTAAAAGACGACTCTGCCACATTGGGAAGTCTTGGAGTCATACCTGAGAGCATCATTTGCCTTAAGGTACAACTCAGTACTTGGACAATAGATACATTGGCTATTTAGCTGCTTGCTGAGACATGATTTTTTTAGAAACCATTTTAAAGGAATAGTTCACCCAAATATTTTAATTCTATCATTAATACCTCATTCTCCTGAGCAGTACATTTCAGTGAGGAATTGGTCCACTGCCGACAGTACCCTTAAGCCTCATTCATACTACGAGCGACTCACAGCAGCAAAGCGACGTGCGACCACTTATTTCAATGGCGATTGAGTGACTAAATTCTATCAGAATCATATACCGGCCCTTACCTAGTACCGAACCAAACTGCTCAGTAGAAACAGGCCATATTTACACACTGTCAATTTCCAGAGACCTTCTTTTATCTTTGGGACTTAAATGAAGATGTTTTTGATTAAATTAGGAAACGCATCCTGAACTAACATTAAGAATACTGTTAAATAGTCATTAATTTTGTTTTATTTTGTACTCAAAAGTTCTTGTAGATTATTAAATTACGGTTAAACCACTGATGATACATGGGATGTTTTGAGTTCTCGAATTTCATAAAAATATATCTTGTGGGTTTGGAGTGACATGATTGTGAATAATCAATTGTTATTTTTTAGTAAACCATCTCTTTTTGATGCTTTAATTTGATGCTCAGAAACCATTTGAAGTATTGTCAGTGTTGAAAACAATTGTGCTGCTTAAAGGGACAGTTCACCCTAAAATTAAAATCATTTACTTACCGCCACTTGTCACAAACCTTTATAAGTTTACCTTTTCTGTTGAACACAAACATTTTGAAAAATGTTAAAACTATTGACTTCCATGTTTCCAACATTTTCAAAATGATTTGATTTTGATGATTATAAAGTTCAGAAAACAGCATTGATTTATTTCTAAACATGTTTTACAGGCTGATGAACCCATTGCTGATTATGCTGCAATGGATGATGTTTATCAAGGTGAGTGCTTTTAACATTAGCTTAAATCACTGTCTCATTTCTGAACATGTTTGACATTATTGTTTGTTTGTTTTTTTCAGTCTGTATGCCTGAAGAAGGATTTAAAGGTATGTTTAAGCTTAGATAATTTCTTAAATGAAGTCTAACCTTTAAAGGTGCAGTATGTACGTTTGACACCTAGGGGTTGAACTAGGTATTGCATTCCTGGATCAAAACAAACACAAGTTCAGGTTGCCTGATTGACCAACAGGAGCGAGTCTGACAAACGAGCCTAAAGCCTGATTTAAAGCTTGTTCTATATAAAGGCAACAGCACGCGATAGAAGGAATATTTCCATATACGGCTTCTATTTCTTGCAGCTAAACAACAGAAAACTGACAATCACCTCAGGTACACCTCATGTGCTTTATTCAGTGTTAAATGCTAATAATGAGAGTTTAAATGCCATTTTACATGACATTTATTGCCATACTACTGAAAGCAGCAGCAGATAGTTCACCTCAGATCATGAAAAAAATAAACCATTTGAAATTGAAATTTAGTACTGTGAATCATATATCAGTGATTCGGCTTATACATTTAATAATGTTAAAGAGGTTTAAAGTGTATTAATTAGATAACAATTACCTTGCCATTTCATTAGAGTGCAGTGAGTGCACTATCCTGTGTGTTGCTCCCTCCAGCAACAAACGAGCAAGAGTCTTTATTTCTACTGACTGGTTTATTTTTCACATCGATTCTTCAGTTGTCAACATGATCAGAAGACATTAGACGTATACCAGTCGTAAAAACTAAAAAACATAAAGGAATAAATTACAGCAGTGTATTTTAGTATCAAATTAGTCCAAATCACCACATTAAAGTCACAAATAATATAATAATCACCTATTCTTAACTAATACAATTTAACTTAAAATCACACAGCTCATGAACAAGCACAGTTAAATACAAACACTAAACATTAACAAAATAGCATTACACTTCCAATCAAACAAAACCAACAAATCATACAAAACAAACATACCTCATTAGCTGGTTAAGGAAGGGAGAAACTAAGGAAAAGCATAAGCCTTAGCATCCCTTACCTTTTGAATTGCTAGTGGCACTAATGAGTGAATGCATTTTGTCTGCTCACAGTGGTGCATCATCTTTATATTTCCCTACACAAACAGCTCCGCTAAGTGAAACTGGCATAAGAATTTAAAGACACACTACATCACTGTGCTTCTGAATGGCTGTATTTAAATTTCTTTCATGCTACGTCTGGTGCAAACAGGCAAATTGCTTATCACTGCAAATCTGGTCACGCAGCGTATTGTTAGGACACGGATACAATTTAATCAGCTCACCTAATGTTTAAACTTATAATATTTATATTATTAGCTAATTAATAACAGCCTGATGTGGAACTCTGAATCTGCGTCTCATTTCGGAGTCTGCTACTGTCCACCGGAGAACACGTTTCAGTCATGGACACGCACTTTGAGAGCCTTTCTGACTGACGGAATGAATGAAATACGCTGTTTTCCACCAAGGCAACCTGGGGTGCTGAAATATAAGTGGCTAAAGTGGCATTAGGTGGGTTAAAAGAACCAAAACAAACGTAACTCACATTTTCAAAGCAGAATATCTAACTTCAGTATTGTTTTTCAGATAAACAAGAATGTTCACTTAACATGATTCTTAATTATCTGCAAATATATTATGGTACTTTTATGCTTTAGAAGAGTCAAGAACTTACACACAGCACCTTTAAAGTCTTTATAAAAGTATCAGGAATGCAATATTATCAAGCAGTTTTCAGACTCTGCCATACTTGTTTTTCTTTTGCCAGGCACTGGGCTTTTAGGACACTGAGGAACAATGCTGATGACGTCTGAGCAAGGATAAAGCTTGAATTAAACATAGATGTTCATTCTTGGGATGAATTCTCCTTTTGTTTGGTCGTTTTATTTGTTTTTGAATGTTGCGACAACTTCAGAAATGTTGTTTTGCTTTAAGAAACATCGTGTTGGCTTTTAATATTGAAAGATGTTGATGCATTCTGCAAGGTTTTGTGGTCGTGCGTAACCATGACTGTGAAAAATACGGGTCGACATTTCCTCGAAGGATGTTCCATTTCAAGGAAAATCTGAATTCCTCCTCGTTTGTCGCAATGTCGTGTTCAGAGATTATGATCATATTTTGTGTGTGAAACAGTACGTCTCTGTAAATCCTTTGTTGAAAAGAAGCTTGTGACGGCACTGCAATAGAGCTCTTACATATTTAAGAGTGCATGAGCAACTTGAATATTAAAAAAAGAATAATAAAATAAAAAAATTAGTCTTTGTTTCATTAATGTAAATAACCTCGTCGAAAATACAGCAGTGAAGAGACGTCTAGAAAGATGAGGATAATTAGGAGACGCTTCCAGAAGTGGGAGATGTTTCAGCATTGCTAAATAGTTTAGACATGTTCTGCTACTTGAACAATTAAGCAGACATTTGTGTGAACTTTTCTGTATGTTCTTTCATATGGGCAATAAATATTCTTTTTACATCTATGTACATTTGTTTTATATGAGTACATATGTTTTATCGTCACGTAGGAATGATTAGCCACGTTGCTATAATGTTATGATTCTATTTTTAGCATTGACCATATTCCTGATTTGTTGTTTCTTGTCTAACCCGCTGAAAAAAACAGCTTAACCCAGCTTAGGCTGGTTTAAGCTGGTCAACCAGCCTGGTTTTAGAGAGGTTTTGGCCATTTCCAGGCTGGTCTTAGCTGGTCAAACTGGAAAATGACCAGTTAAAACCAGCTTGGCCTGCCAGGTTTAAGCTGAATATCGCTGGTTTTGGCTGGGCTCCCAGCCTGCCAGTGTTGCCAACTATTTTCAATGAAAAGTAGCTAAATGTTGCCAGATGGTGTCAGGTACTAATTTGCATATCAGTGACGTCATCGCGTAGTATCTAACAAGCCCATAAAGTCTTTGCAGTGTATTATATTAAATTAAAACGTCAAATCCAGATGCACAATAAATAGGTTCTTATTAACATATTACTTTGAGTGATGACGTCATTGCGTAATCTAAACTCAAACTACATCTTTATGTATTATACGAAATAATTTGTTCTCTCAAATTGACTGAGCATCTCAGCAAAAGCATTATTTGAAATGCGTCCATTTAGATTTGTATGAACAATATAGTTGACTAATAGTAAAAGTAATACAAACACTTTTTGATTTGAATTTTTTTATTTATTTTTAAATATAACACTGATAATGAACAACAGCTTGTGTACTCACTCTTTTTAACTTGTGAAATTAACACATTTGTGAAGTGACAACAATTATAGCACTATTGGAATTTATTGCTACCTAAATAACCAACAATTATACATGTTAACAAATATCATGAAATTAACAGCTATGAAAAACACTAACAAAAAGCTAGCAATTTACTGAGTGAACCCTTCAGCCACTGCTCTTTTGAGTCACTTTTTAAAAATTGCTTAAAGTAGCCAAATGAATGTTTAAAAAATTGCTAAATTTGTTGCTAGGTTTTTTTGCGAGAAAAAAAAAAGTTGCTAGGGTAGCATAAAAAGTTGCAAAATCTAGCAATAAAATTGCTAAGTTGGCAACACTACAGCCTGCTAGGCTGGTCAAACTGGTTTTAGCTGGTCATCTCCCAGCCTGATCATCAGCTGCTGGAAGACCAGCCTGGAAATGGCTAAAACTCCTCTAAAACCAACCAACCAGCCTAGGCTGGTTTAAGGTGTTTTTTAGCAGGGTAATCATCTGGAAAATGCTGTACAATGGCTATTATAAGTTTATGAGTAAGATGAAGATAAAAATGCTTTAATTACACTGCTTGTTTATATGTATAACGTTACTATTTTGCGTTAAATTTGTATCGAAATGACCAAGATGTTTTTGCAGAACTCCCACATACCTCATTTACTTATGATATGTTACCTGTTGTGAAAAATCCCAAATTATTACTTGTTCAGTAAACGCATCCATGTATTTTTCACGTTTTATACACAGTAGCTATTGTTTGTTTTAATTGGTTTAGGATCCAGGGACGTGACAAGAAGATCGATGACTACGGAGTGTTATTTGTGCCTTTCTATTTCTAATGACCCTTCTTTTAAACCTTTCCCGAAAACCAGCTGTTCGTTATACGCATGCGTGCAAAGGCGCTACAAATACTAGAGCACATGCGCAGTATGTCATCTGAGAGACCGCAGATATTCACGCGCATGCGCACTATCAAAATGTTTTGTGGCCGAATCTTTATTTCGCAGCGGAATGTTGTCCTTCGAAGGAGTTTAAATAAAGAGCCGGATCATTTGAATTTAAAGGTAAAGGCGTAGAAGTGTTTAGCTGTGGACTTTAGCAGGTCACAATATTTGGCTCCAAAATCGAGCAATTTGTGTTTATGAAGCTCTTTTTTCAAAAGCTCTTTTATTGTTGGCATTAGGTAACGTTAGCATCACATGTTCGCCGATCCCCGAAATGTCACTCGTTAACTTACATGTGGTTATATCACATTTAGCTTAGCCTGTGTAGCCAAATGAGTATTGTAATGAAGATAAAGTCCTCTAATTGGCTTTTTATACTGATTATGTTATATAATGTGTACATTGCTTTCCTTTTAATTGTGTTTGGAATAAACAGGCTGAAATATCTACCTCGAAATAATGGCTCATCTTATGTATTGCTGTTAGTTTTCTTCATTTTTGTCTAAATGTTATAAACTATTAGAACTGCTGACTTGAAGACCTGATGTGTTATGAATCATTTACTGTACTACAGCACTGTGCATTCATAGCACTTTACCATAGCGCTATAACTTGACATTTTCACCTTTTCAGTGTATGAACGCTGGTATAAATGTGAGTGTGTGGGTGTTTCCCAGTACTGGGTTGGACTGGAAGACCATCCGCTGCGTAAAACATATGCTGGAATGGTTAACGGTTCATTCCATTGTGGCGACCGCAGATAAGTAAGGGACTAGGCTGTAGAAAAATGAATAAGTATAGACTTCTTATAACTACCATTGTGCTGATATTGTCTATGAAAAGCAGAACAATTTATTTCCTGATATTTTTGCTGCTTTATTTCCATAATGAAAATCTAAAATGCTGCTGGAAAGTAAATGTCTTGGTTTCTTAAAAACGAAAGAAAATAACCAAATAAAAATAAACTCAATTCATGAGAAATCCAGTTTTATATTTCTGTCTTCACTGAATTTTATTTAATAAATAATAAATATTTATTTAGAGGCACAAATATTTAATAAATAAAAACAACATTTATTTTATTAAAAATATTTTAAATCAATAAAATATAATCGTCAGTAGTCATGTAATTTTTTAACTCTTACCGCACAATTTTCCTGTCATTTTCAGCATAAACTTTAGTTTTAAACTTGTAAATACTTGTAATTTACTTCTAAATACTCTTGAGTTATCACTTTCTCCTTTATAAAGATATAAAAAAATGTGAGATTAGTGCTTGAAATGAGAAAAAAAGTATCTCTATATATTAAGAAAATCAACTGAAGACTTTTTAATTGAGTTAAAGTTATATTTTTATTCGCACATTCGTTCATATTCAGCCCTATATTGTTTACCATGCTACTTTTAATATTTGGTCTGAAGTCGCATGTAAATTTGCCTTCAAAGCAACATTTGTACTATTTAATTGACTGTGAACAATGTTGTACTTTGATAGTCTTTGGCTGCTATTATTATTTCACTATATTGAATATTAGTATTAGTACACTGTATTGTACCATAGTACACTATATTAGTACCCTGTATTGAATATTAGCACACTATATATACACAATATTAGTATTATTCTAAAATAATACAATTCTAAAATTAGATTAAGTAGAAAGTCTGAATGTGCGAATATAAAACTAACTTTACCTCGATACAATACATCTTCCTGCTTTCATATTTTCCTTGTTTTCCAGTACTAATATCTAAAAACACTCAAATATAAAGATATCACAAACTTAATATGAAAACCTGACTATATATTTTTTCTGACTGTATATGTTTTCTAAAAACATTCATTATCTGTGTGTGGGGTGAGAGAAATGGATGCAGACTCGGTGCAGTTGCAATCTGAGGTGCATACAATCCTTTTTAATGTCCATGCCTAACCCTCATAGTGACGTCACTACCCACACAGCAACATTTCTCTGGTCCACACAATCAGATTTTGCTTGGCCCACATGCCGCAGTGAATTACAGTACATGACTGGACCAAGTCTGGTTTCTAGACAAGGGCTAAACATTGACCATATCCGGGTCAAGTCACAGTCAAGTTAATAACTCATAACTGGGCCTGAACTGGGCCAGATAGTTTTGCAATGAAATTGATAAACCCATAAAGCATTGGGCTTTAAGCACACTATGGCTATGCTTTTTCTTGAAGCGACCTGATTGATGAATTTTTTTCTTTACTCAAAGTGGTTTATTCATAAACTATTTTCGAGAGAATCACGTGATTATAATTGCTTTCAGCTGGTCCTGCATTATTCAATTTATGATTGACCAATCAGATGATTCCTAAGCCACTATAAATACTCTAAGTTCCATATAACAGCCATCTTTGTTTTGAAGAATCCCCCTTCCTCCCCTACTCCTCCTCCTTTTCTAGATGGGTGGCACGGTGGCCCAGTGGTTAGCACTGTTGCCTCACAGCAAGAACGTCACTGGTTCTAGTCCTCACCAAGCCAGCTGACGTTTCTGTGCGGAGTTTATACGTTCTCCTTGTGCTCACATGGGTTTCCCTCGGGTTCCTCTCACCGTCCAAAAACATGCAACTTAAGCGATTCATCTGTGAATGAATCTCCGTCATGAATGACTGCTTCACTGTCCGACAATAATACCAGTTTCTGACATCTCAGCATCTCGTTGTCACATTTCTTTTGCATTGTTTGCTTATTTTATTGAACAAAACTAGCATAAGCCGAGTATTTAGTGCAAGTTGGTTCTACTTTGCCTTATGGTGAATGCAGTAAGTGACTATTATAATCAATATGTTACCTGTTCAGCACAAAAGTTCATAACATACAAAATCGTAAAAAACTAAATCTTACCTACAATATGTTTCGCCTTTGTGCGTTGTTTTCTTTGTTTGCTCGTTACTACACCCTTAGACAGCTCTAAAGTCCAGCATCTACACGTAATAACACTGTCTTGACTAGTGCGATTGAATGATATTTGTCCTAGGAGCACTATACAAATGTGGCAGTGCTATTGACGCACACTCAGGGTCCCTATGCGATATCTAGTGTATATATCTATGTTCATTAGACACTACAGCAGGGGAGTTCTCGAGATCTACCTGAGCTCAAACTCCCCTCTCACCTTGCAAATGGGAGGGAGCCCAGTGTTTGAGGATCTTATGAGCTCAGGACAGCATGCCAAACAAGCTTTATAATCGATCATCAGCTAAGTGTGAACTCCTGAAAATAATGTTCATGTATTTTAAGTGTGGGTCAAGACAGGCTAAACTGATGTGGACCACATATTAATTTTTAACATCTGGGCTAAATACTACATTGCACATTTAGCCCAAATCTTTTTGTGCCACTTTAAAGACGGTGCCAACTCTGTCAAACCCAGGCCATGTTTGGCCCACATGCTATATGCCAGTGCCGGATGAGCGCCTCCTGTGTCAGCTTTATCTGGGCCACAATTCTTTGCTACCTGGGTAGCTCCATTGAGTGCATTGTGTCTGACATTGCATCTCTGAGATAGGCAGTCTCAGCTTGCAAATCGAAGTCTGTATCAAGATACTATTGGAGAATTGCACTTAATTATGTCTTACCACTGCCATTAAAAACACACTTCCCGCTCTTACTCTAGCACACAGGTGTCAAACTCAGTTCCAAAAGGGCCGCAGCTCTGCACAGTTTAGTTCCAACCCTAATTAAACACACCTGATTAAACTAATTGAGTCCTTCAGGCTTGTTTGAAACCTACAGGTAAGTGTGTTGGAGCAGGGTTGGAACTAAACCCTGGAATTGAGTTTGACACCCCCAGTGGTCTTGCACTTAATTCTCTGAGCACAAACAGTTCCTTTGTATAATTAGCACTTCTTGTGTATTGCCTCTTCTTGTTGAATCGCTGAATTCCTCCTTAATTCTAAAGCTATATGACTAAATGTAAATATAAAACTAATATCTCACTTAAAAAACGTATTTTCTTCTCATCCATCTGTAAACAGGTCCAAAATGGAGCTGCCAAACTACAGCCGACAGCTCATGCAGCAGCTTCACACTTTACGAAAAGAGAAAAAGTTCTGCGACTGCTCCATCCTGGTGAGCGAAACCCCTCACCCTGCCCACAAACTGGTGTTGGCCGCCTCCAGTCTGTTATTCAAGTCTGTTCTGGAAAGTTCTGACAGCATCTCTATCGACACAGACCTGCTGTCCTCTCAGGAGTTTTCCTCTCTTCTGGATCTGGTGTACACCGGGAAACTGCCACCAGGAAAACACAACTTAACCCGCCTCATAGCCGCCGCAGACAGTCTGCAGATGTTTGATGTGGCTGTCGGCTGTAAAAACATCCTGACTGACCTCATGAAACAGACTGAGCCCATAGACCCACAGGTTATAAAGCCTGACAGTGTTGTGGAGCAGGTTAAAAGAGAAGAGAGGAATCTGCAAGGTAAAAGATTGAGATTTTCAGTTTGAGGTTGCTTTGTTTGAGGTGTTTTTTGTGAATTGTGTTTACGTCTGTGTTCAGAGGACAATGCAGTCGAGATGATTTCTCATGATCGAGCTGGTCTCATGAAGATCCTACAGAGAGGAAAGTCTCATGTTCAGTTTCTTGAGGCCTGGGATGCAGTTTCCACAGAAGAGCGACAGGTACAATTTTAGTAGGAGAGATGAATAATCAAGAATAATTAAGACTTCATGAATGAAACCAACTAAGAATTGCATCTATTTGATCAAAATACTACAGATTATCCCAGTTTTTATTGAATCAATATATGTGACTTTGGACCACAAAAAAAGTCAAATTTGTTTGACCACAAAAAAGTCAAAAAGTCAAAAATTTTTTGCTATTTTTTCACATCATGTATAAGCTGTATAAATAATATTTTTAATAGGATAATGTTAGTCTCATTTGCAGCTCTCTAAATGAAGTGCTCAGCAATACTAATCAAAAATTATTTGCTGTAGGAAATTTACTAAATATCTTCATGGGACATGATCTTTCCTTAATATTCTGATGATTTTTGGAAAAATGGAAAAATTTATCATTTGGAACATTAGACTTTAGATATTTAAGATATTTAAAAATGTATTATATCATGGCAAAATTTATTTTGTGCATCAATATTTGTCTTTATTATTGTATAATCTTACAGAAATCATTATAATATCTAAGAAACATCTTATTGTTTAGAACAGCTTTTGCTGCGTAATATGTTTGTGAAAATGTGGATACTCTCTCTTTAAAGATTTCCACTTAAAAGCGAATGAAAATATAGTTTTTCGGACTAAACTGTTTTAAAGTGACAAAAAATAAACGAAAGCCCTTTATTTTACTTTATATTCATAAAAAAATAATGAAAAACGGATTTTTTAAAAACATTGATAATGCTGCGCATTGATGGATTTGCTCTTTAGTGTTTGGACCGTAGTGAAAATTAAACCACACTGAACTGAACTAAACTGAACTTCAACTCTGAAAACTGGACTGACAGTTTTAATCTAAATTTTGTTGAAATTCTGATTTTGTTAAGCTGCTTTGACACAATCTACATTGTAAAAGTGCTATAGAAATAAAGATGAATGAAATTTAATTACAATAATTATTTATTATAATTTTTAATGAACATATTAGAATTAATTTTGAAAAAAAGAAAATTGTATCATATTAGAAGTAAATCACAATTTGTATTATATTAAAATATAAAACAGTTATTTTAAATCATGACATTATTTCACATTATTACCTTTTTTTAGTTTTATACAAGTAAACTCAGGCTGTATCTAAAATCGCCCCATATACCCTCAAATAGCGCACTACTTTTAGTGGTGTCTAAAACCATAGTGGACGTTATAAGTGCACTATCAATTCCACAATGCACTCCAATCACGAGTCAACAACCAGTGTACACTTATCCATAGACACTTGTAATAGATATAAGCTATCTTATAATTTATAATACATTACATTATATTAATAACCATCTATATTATAATAAGCTATCTATTATGTCAATGCATTCATCAGCTAGAAAATTCCCATAATGTATCGTGAGGGTTTGCGCGCCGAATGAATTTCTGGTTCTGACCACAAGATGGCGTCTAAAGCACACTAAAGTTTCAAAATTAAATATTTAATTAAAGTAACGTTTGTTTACGTGACATTAATTAAAAATCTTTGTTTCATTACTAATAGAAAGCTCACTTAGTGTTAAATACCTATCACAGGGTCTGACTAAGAAGTAAAATCTAATCCTATGAGGCATTTATCTAATAATAAGAGATTCATCAAACGGAGAAACAAACAAAACCGGTTTCCGACCGTGGTAAAGTTCAATTTAGTCACTCGTTTCATTCAGTTCTTCAAGTGGACTATATTAGTGGACTGATGTAGGGAATACTGAATGAGGGTATCCATCATCAGTCTTGGTGAGCATAAGGCTTAATTATTATAATAGTTAGCATTACTAGCAGAATAGTTTTAATAACTCATCTCTAATAACTGATTCATTTTATCTGTCATGATGACAGGAGGCTACATAATGTTTTATTAGATATTTTTCAAGACACTTGTATTCAGCTTAAAGTGACATTTAAAGATTTAGCTAGGGTAATTAGGCAAGTCATTGTTTAGCGATAATTCTGTAGACAATCGAAAAAATTAATTACTTAAGGAGGCTAATAATATTGACCTTAAAATGGTTTTAACAAAATTTAAAACAGTTTTGATTCTAGCCAAAATAAAACAAATCTTTCTCCAGAAAAAATGTTATAGGAAATACTGTGAAAAATTATTTGCTCTGTTAAACATCATTTGGGAAATTTTTGAAAAAGAAAATTCACAGGAAGGCAAAGAATTTTGACTTCGACTGTATATATAAAGGAGAGTGTATGGATGTTTCCCAGAGATGGGTTGCAGCTGGAAGGGCATCCGCTGCGTAAAAACAGGCTGGATAAGTTGGCGGTTCATTCCGCTGTGGCGACCCCAAATTAATAAAAGGACTAAGAAAAGAAAATGAATGAATGAATATTTAAATAAAAAACTATTTATTATAAACTTTTGACAAGTTTATTTGCTGCTTAACTGTAGAAGCAATACGCATTTATTTTTACAATTCGAGTGTAACACTAATTTCAGATCTGATCCTGATCTTCTGCAGGTCATTCTGGAGATGTTCAGAGGAGATCCATCAGCAGATGAACTTTACCAGCGGTTACTGAATCTGCTGGAAGTTGAGAGAGTTCTGTCATCAAAGACAGTCCTTACTTTACTTGAGCAGCTAAAACATTCAGATCTGGAGGAGCAGGGAGATCAGAGCTGTTCTCAACCAAAAGGTACTGACCTGGGTTCAGTCAAAGTGGGAAGTAGTATATTAAAACGACAGTTTAAGGTAGATTTGCTTGATTTTATGTAAGTGTACTAAAGCTTTTTCTATGTTGTGTTGATCTGCAGATACTGTTCAGGGGTCCAGTGGGATTTTAGAGCGTTTATCAGAAGTAACTCATCATCTTTCCAGTGTCAACAACCTCTCAGAGATATTGACCAGTGCTGTAACCAAGTGCACAAATCAAGTGGAAAAAGAGGTAGATTTGTTCATAGCAGTTTGATATTTAAAACAAAACTACTGTATTCATAGATCACACTATCATTACTTTTATCAGTGTTTGCTTTAATACTAATACAGTGGTGTTATTACTATAAAGCTAAGGTTTACGGTTTTATGTGTGTCTATATGTAGTTATTAATTCATTCATTCATCATTTATTTTCCTTTGACTTAGTCTCTTATTTATCAGAGGTTGCTACATTGGAATGAACCGCCAACTATTCCAGAATATGTTTTATGCAGCGAGTGCCCTTCCAGCCACAACCGAATACTGGGAAACACCCATACACTCTTTCATTAACACACATACTCATACACCTATGGCCAATTTAGTTTATTCAGTTAATTTAGAGCGCATAACTTTGGACTGTGGGCGAAACAGGAGCACCCAGAGGAAACCCACGCCAACATGGGGAGAAGATGCATGTAGTTTATTCATTTATTTAAAAAATATCATTTTAATCTATCCATAAATCAATATTTTTTTATTATATAGCACTTTTTTAAACACTTTCTATTTTACAGGCAATAAACAAACACATTAAAATCAGTAATTTATTCTATTTTAATAAATAAAAAATTATCCAAATTTGACTTATTCCTAAATCTAATAGTATTTTGTCATTTTAGTGTCAAGTAATCTTTCAGAAATCATTGTAATATGCTGATTTGGTTCTCAAGAAACATGTTAATATTATTTTATTATTATTATTCTTATTATTAGTAGTGGTTATTATTAAGTAGCCTCACTGCATGAAGGTCACTGCTTCGAGTCCCGGCCGGGCCAGTTGGCATTTCTGTGTAGAGTTTGCATGTTCTTCTTCATGTTCACGCAGGTTTCCTCTAGGTGAGTCCAAAGATATGCACTATAGGTGAATTGGATGAACTAAATTGGTCGTAGTGTATGAGTGTGTGTGGGAATGTGAGAGTGTATGAGTGTTTCTCAACACTGGGTTGCAGCTAGAAGGGCATCCGCTGAGTAAAACATATGCTGGAATAGCTTTAGGTTCACTCTGCTCTGGCGACCACTGATAAATAAGGGACTAAGCTGAAGGAAAATGAATGAATTATTATTATTAGTAGTAGTCGTTGTAGTTTTTTTAATAGTTGTCTTGCTTGATATATTATTTATTTTGTTGCATTATTATTCTTTATTTCATTAAAATACAAAAATATATTAAAATTTATTTAAAAAAAGAAGAACACAATTTAAATTGTTAATTTCTGATTACCTTTAATATATATTATATATTATATTATATGTGTATATGAGTTATATTAGATACATACAGGGTGTCCGCGGGGTCTGAAAAAGTCTTAAAATTTCTTACATTTCAAAAACAAAAGTTTAGGCCTTAAAAAGGCTTATATTTACTGAAATATTGTGTTGTATGTCTTAAGTAATTTTAAACAGGTCTTAATTTTCCTCTGTCCAAGTACAGCAACAAAATCGGGCCGACATTCATCCAATCACCAACAATCCATCTTAAAAAATCAGGGAAAGAAAACTAAAAGAAATACAGTTCCTCATGATAATCAACAAAGCTATTTTCCCTTTACATTATCTTCCATTCATGCAAAAACTATTTACAGAAGTAAGGGTGAGTAGATATAATATTTACAAATAGACATAAAACTTAAGGTTTTACAGAAATGCATTAGGTTTAAAAAAAGCTATACCCGATCAATTTGAACCAACAGCCTATATATATATATATATATATATATATATTTATATAATTGCCTTTACAATAAATATATTTTTAGCAATGTATAACTTGTTATTCAAAAAGAAAGGAATAATATGTTGAAAATAATGTATAACTTGACCTTTCTTGTTTTGACACATTAAAGTATGTCGCTTAGAATTAATTTATTTTTTGTTGAAAGAATTAGATAAGTAGATAAATAATTTCAGATAAGATAGATAAATAATTTCATTAATAATGGTCTAAAAAGGGTCTTAAAAGTCTTACATTTGACCGGATGAAACCTGCCGAAATCCTGTACATGGTCATTTAGTAATGTAAATTGACACAAAGCAAGATCTCATTGATATATTCCATTGAACAGCAGGCTTCTATAAATATAAAGGTTATACATGTGGCTACATTTCTTGTAAGCTTAATAGTGCAGCTAAACAAATATTTACTAGTACACACTTATGCCACAACCAAGCTAAGCTATAAATGAGCACAGCTGGTGCACACTTGGCCTCAGTTCTCATGTGTACTTCCGAGACATATTACTTGTGAAGAAAAGTAATGAATGGTAGTGAGTGTGTTTGTTTTTTCTTAAGGCGCTTCTGCAGTGCTGTTCTGCTCCGTCATCTGCAGAGGTGCTGGAAAACTTGTTATGCAAACTCCGAGAGATGTCCATAAGTGAAGAAACGTTTCTGATTCTGCTGAATGAAGTGAAGGAAAAATCAACCGATCTGCTTCAACTCCTTGAAACTCTTAAAAACACCAGAGGTACGAACAGCAAAACACATTTCGTTATAGCGCATGTATATTTCTAACTGCTCCTTTCTGTCAGGTGTAACGACAAAAGAGAGCAATGCAGTTGATTTGTTGGGAATGTATCAGAGCAGACTTGTTGAGCTGAATCTGGACCTCCAGCTCATCAAACAAAGCCTTCAAATGGGTCCAGAGATGCCTGAAAATGACAGACAGGTACATGTGCTGCGTTGTTAGATACTTTTTTTTTAGCAAATCCCTAAGATACTTGAACTCCTCTGGTGTAAGGACTTTCGTGTAGAATTTAATGTCAGTGAATAGGGTTCAGATTTGCTAATAGTAATTACCATATTTACCCAGTTGATTGATGACATTAAAATTCATCCAAAAGTGAAAACTACTCCATAATAACAATAATAATTTCTGATTTGCATGTTTAAACATATTACTATAAAAAAAACTTGTAATACAAAATATTGTTTGGAATTCTTAAAGGGATATTTCACCCAAAAAAGGAAAATGAGCATTTACCCAGTGTTTCCCAACACTGTTCCTGAAGGCACATCACCAACAGTACATATTTTGGATGTCTGCCTTATCTGACCCATTCATTTCAGGTTTTGGAGTCTCTTCTAATGTTCTGATGAGTTGATTGAGTTGTGTTTGATTAGGTACAGGGGTGTCAAACTCAATTCCTGGAGGGCCGAAGCCCTGCACAGTTTAGTTCCAACCATGCTCCAACACACTTAACTGTAGGTTTCAAACAAGCCTGAAGGACTCAATTAGTTTGATCAGGTGTGTTTAATTAGGGTTGGAACTAAACTGTGCAGAGCTGCGGCCCTTTTGGAACTGAGTTTGACACCTGTGATTAGGGAGTAGGGTTGTAACGGTATGAATTTTTCACGGTATGATAATCGTCTAAAACAATACCACGGTTTGACGGTTTCGCGGTATACGGTATGTTACAAATGTTACAAAATAATAGAACAGTGAAGCAAATTTGACTTTTTCCAAATAATATATTTTTAGTTACTATAAACAACACCACTTACAATGAACAAATAAAAATAAGAAAATAATAAATAATGTGTCAAAGTCCAAATAAAGTCCAAATAAACATGGTGCAAATCCTCAGTAAAAAATAGATATAAATATTTATAACAGCAAGAGCAGCAGTTCGTCTTTGCTGTGTCACTGTTTTGTCATGTTTCTGTGCTGCTGTGCATGCATAAGTACTTAGTATGAGAATTATTTCATGCAAAACTTTTTTTTTTTGCGTTTTATTTAGCCGCGCATAAATGTATGCCTATCTCTCATTCCGTGTTGTTCAAAAAGCTTGGTCCACAAACAAAAGCGAAACCTATGCTTATTGGTTGTGATATAGCGAGTTTGAACCAATCTGGGCATGGAGGAGGGACAATGCATCAATGTATCATGTCTGATTTGTCCGGAGACACAGTGACGAGCGTTTCTTTGTCAAATCAGCGTTGTCAAATGTTGATGACGTAACCGCACTGATTCCGGAGCCTCTGAAAGTCCGCGAATGTTATGTTATGATACAGCACTGGAAAGCTGAGACTCTCTTCTTTATGCCAATCTTTGAATTGTATGAATCGGATCAGCGGATCAAAAGTTATTAAACATTTAAGAGCAATACTTATTTTTAGCCGCGGGCGGCTGTCTCTGTCTTTAAGGGGTAAAACCGTTGATATGCAATTGTTCATGGTATGATAATCGTGCACGTTCAAATCGTGGTAAACCGTCATACCGGTATATTGTTACAACCCTATTAGGGAGATGTTGAAAATGTGTACTGTTGGTGTGCATTCAGGAACAGGGTTGGGAAACACTGCTCATTTTCTCATTTCACTGCATTAACTCATCCTCAAGCCATCCTCAGTGTATATGACTTCCTTCTTTCAGACAAACACAGGTTTTTTTCAGTGTATCCTACCTCTTTCATGCTGTATAATGTTGTTGGATAGTGTCCCAGTAACAGGAAAAAATCATTTACAGCAAGGATGGCTTGAGGGTGAGTAAATTATGAGGTAGTTTTTATTTTTGGGTCAACTATTTCTTTAAGAATTATAAAAAATCTATTGTATTATAAGTTTTCGAAAATGTAATGTTTAAATATGCAAATGAGGCATCATTTAAATAAATATGCATTAATTTGCATACACTTCTGCCACGGATATTTAAGCATTTGATGACATTTTGCCTCTTTTTTGACATATTAGAGTCAGTTATGTTTACAGAAGGGATTTTGGAAGTCTTTTTTATCCTTCTGCAATTCAGAAAATACTGTAAACAGACAGAAAAGAAAATCACAATTGCTTGTAGAATAAAATGTTTGAATATAATCAAGCAATTTATCGATGAACATATCCTTTGGTATGACCTCTACAATAGAGTTGACTAAAACTGTAAAGTTTGGTGTGAGAGCTGCTGAAGTGCAAGTTCATGGCTCAGTGCAAGAGGAAAAAAAATATTTTGAGAAAACAAACTTTAAAATATGTATAGCAATTAAAATTTACAGATACAAATAGATAAAGAGCATAAAAAGAAGGACTTAAAAGCTTTTTTCCCTATTAGACTGAACAAACACTCTAAGAAGAGCCAAAAAAAGTCTAATCTCGAATTAAAAGGTGCATGAAAAAACTGGTTGTAGTTTTTTTTTTGTGTGTGGCATCTTCTACACTGAAAGAAATCTGTTTAAAAGTCGTGTTTGTGCCTGCAGTGTCTTGACTGCATTTGTATGTATTCAGTGTATTGAAGGTCTGCTGGTAGAGAAAGCAGATGCTGAGGTGTTTGAGAGGCTGATTTTAGCAGCGCTGGATGGTTCACTGCAGGCCGTCACTGCGTGGAGGATTCTCTTCTGGACAGAAACACACAATCCAGAGCTGCAGATCCTCATGCAGGAGCTCAAGGAGAAGCCAGAAGCTCAGAAACTACTCCAAACCAGTGAGAGTCAAAGAGCTTCTTAGTCACTGAGCGTCCTAAGAAAATATGGGTATTTATTAAGTACACTGTTTGTGCCTAAATCTTACACCATCATGTTTTTTTTTTCTCTTTTTTTGTAGTTAAGGACATAGATGTGCTGTTCAAGCACAAATCACTCATTCTGGAAACCATCAGTGATTTTACAGTGCTTGAACAGGGTTTGAATGCAATGGATCATGAGACAGAGAAAGTTACTGAGGTAAGAAATAAATATTGATTATTTTCTCATTATAATTAATGAGAAAAATATACTAAAAGTGTGCAGTCTGTCCCAATCTGTATGCTTCTATTTGCAAATTGTCCAACCCAGGCTCATTCTGAAAACATACCTCTATATACATTTCTGGAGTGCGCCAAATACATCCCAGGTGCTACGTTTTTTGCAGTTTTTGTTTTCGCAGATCCACCAGAGGCCACTGTGTCTGCTTTTTGAGATCTGAAATTCTCTCACATGTGCCATTTATGCCGGCTGTTCTTGCTTAAATCCACCTTAGGCCACTGTCCACTGACTGACTGACCCCCCCTCCTCTTTCTCAAACCCAATCAATAGTATTTTCAAAAGCACTAATTGACCCACTCAGCCACTACTCTAAACCCAACTGACAATGTTAAAAAGCAATCCAGAAAAAGAAAAGCCCTTGCTTGATTTTAACCACATTTTCAGATTTTACCACATTATTACCCTGTTATTTACTTGTTTATTTCACTTTTTAGCTTCTGTTTTTGTCTTACCTGCTTTCTGGAATCATTCTTTACCGGACTCGAACCTCGTCATCGCGGTCAACTCCTCTCTGCGTCTCAGGTCCACCAATGTACATGTCGAGCTAACTGGACAAACTGGTGACAGCTGGAAAGTCATCCATACAGTTTTAAATACTAAATGCAGCCATACTTACTTCTAGCGACAAAATTCGCGATCTCCAAAATTGTACATAGGGCTACATTTTCAGAATGTTGCCATCATCAATGTTTATTATTATATTTAATTAATGTTCACTAATTTTGTCTAAATATTTTTTACTTACATTAAAAATTAAGTAATAAAATAACTGAAAATTATTTTCTGAAATAATAAACAATAATAATATAATATATAATATATATAATAATATAATATAATAATAGCAAAGTTTTTAGTCTTAAAAATGAGCGATGATAGTATTATAAAACAATTTAATGTCCACGTATCTATTCATTTTTGTATAAAATGATCAGTGTATGAATAATTAGATAATGGCGTCACGGTGGTGCAGTGGTAGGCATGATCACCTCACAGCAAGAAGGTCGCTGGGTCAAGTCTCGGCTGTGTCAGTTGACATTTCTGTTTGGAGTTTGCATGTTCTACCTGTGTTCGCGTTGGTTTCATCCGATTGCTCTGGTTTTCCTCACAGTCCATGACAATGCACTGATTTTTACTAGTTAAAACTCAGATCTCTGTAGAAAATACAACCTTCACAATAACTAACCATGTTCATCTGCACAAAGAATAAACATGGTTTCTATTATAAAAGTTTGATCAGTTTTATAGATTTTAATAGTTACATGTCAGAAAATGTTTGTCCATTTTTACACGAGCATATACACTCACTGGCCGCTTTATTAGGTACAGCCTACTAGTATCGGGTTGGACCCCTTGTGCCTTCAGAACTCCCTTAATCCTTCATGGAATAGATTCAACAAGGCACTGGAAATATCCCTCAGAGATTTTGTTCCAAATTGACTTGATAGCATCATGCAATTGCTGCAGATTTGTCGGCTGCACATTCATGATGCAAATCTCCCGTCCCACCACATCCCAAAGGTAATCTACTGGATTGAAACCACTCTGGGATGATTTACGCTTTATAACATGGCGCGTCATCCTGCTGGAAGTAGTTATCAGAAGATGGGTACACTGTGGTCATAAAGGGACGGACATGATCAGCATCAATACTCAGGCAAGCTGTGCCATTGACACAATGCTCAATTGGTACTAAAGGGTCCAAAGTGTGCCATGAAAATATCCCCCACACCATAACGCCACTACCACCAGCCTGAACCATTGATACAAGGCAAGATGGATCCATGCCTTCAAGCCAAGTTCCGACTCTACCATCTGAATGTCGCAGCAGAAATCGAGACTCATCAGACCAGGCAACGTTTATTCCAGTCTTCTATTGTCCAAGTTTGGTGAGCCTGTGTGAATTGTGGCCTCAGTTTCCTGTTCTTAGCTGACAGGAGTGGCACCCTGTGTGGTCTTCTGCTGCTGTAGTCCATCCGTCTCAAAGTTGGAGGTGTTGTGCATTCAGAGATGCTCCTATGCATACCTCGGTTGTAGCAAGTGGTTATTTAAGTTACTGTTGCCTTTCTAATCTGACCTCTGGCATCAACAAGGCATTTGCGCCCACAGAACTGCCACTTACTGGATATTTTCTCTTTTTTGGATCATTCTCTGTAAACCCTAGAAATGATTGTGTGAAAATCCCAGTACCTAATAAAGTGGCCGGTGAGTGTATTTTATGCTGAATCATATTTTTTTTTGTATTTTAAACAATCTAAAGCATTATTTTACCAACATTTATTTAAAAAAATAATACTTCAATTTTAAATACTTTAAATTAGGTTTAAATTAAAAAGACTTGAAAGCACACTTTGCAATCATATGACTTTTAGGTATATAAAACCACTTTTGTGAATTTAACGTGGACACCAAAATGTAACAACTCATCTAGTATATAAACCACAATAGAGCATTATCATATCAGATGTTTTTGCATGTGCCAGTTTCTGCAGAGCTGCCGGAGAGCTGATGGAGAGCTGGAGTCGGTTGTTCAAACTGTGGACAGAGTTTTGAGTCGCGACTCCGGGTTTGCCAGTCCTCTGTGCCAGCTGATGTGTGCCAACCTGAAGAGCTTCCCTCAGCTGTCGCCTCTCAAACAAACCGGTGAAGATCCTTACTGTGATTTGATATCTTTGTTCATGTGATGAAATGATAGAAAAATCACTACAATTTTAAACAATGCAAAATCACCTTTTATGCTCATATTTTAAAGCAGGGCTTGTGTCTGACTCGGAGTGTCCTGGTAAAGCTGAGGTTGAGCAAGGAGGATCTGCTGTAGACTCTGAGGATGAAGATGATGAAGACTGTAGTAGCACAGGCCGAAGGAAACCCGTGCTGGTGTCCTACAGCTGTGACTGGTGCAGGAAGACATTTGACTTTAAGTGTCGTCTGATAAAGCATAGGAAAGGCTGTGCTCTGGCACCAGGGAAAGAGCAGCGCTGTTGCGAGTGTTCAATGGCCTTTCCAACACTCAAGAGCCTCCATCAGCACTGTGTGGAAACACACGGTGGCCCTCCGGCTAAGAAGAAGAAGACTGAACATGTGGCCTGCGACATTTGTGACAAGACCTTCAAACACTCCTCCGGTGCGTGATGATGAACTAAAATAATGGGCTCCTGATGTGAATTAGTCATAAATATCTGTTCATATAATCACATACACGACCAGTCAAATGTTTAAGGTCAGTTTTTTTAATTAATTTTAATTAATAATTAAATAAAATTATATTGTTCATCAAGGTGGCATTTATTAAATATAAAAAATGTTAAATTGTTAAATGCTTATTTATTACTTATTGTATGTAGTTTCAAATTAAATTATTATTCCATTCATTATTGCTTTTATTACTATATCATTAATAATAATACTAATAATAATAGCAATAATAATCATAATAATAATGAAAATAATAATTAATATTAGAGTGATTTCTGAATGATCATGTGACTGGAGTAATGAAGCTGAAAAATATTTTTTAAATTACTGGAGTAAATTATTAAATTAAATGATAAACTACTTTTGAACTGTTTTTTATAGTGCAATAACTTTTCACAATTTTACAATTCATACTGTATTTTTGATTAAATGAATGCAGCCTTGGTGAGCAGGAGAAGCTTATTTTAAAACATTTATACATCCTACTGACCCCAAACTTTTGACCGGTAATACATATATACAGTTGAAGTCAGAATTATTAGCCCCCCTGAATTATTAGCACCTCTGTTTATTTTTTCCCTAGTTTCTGTTTAATGGAGGGAAGATTGTTTCAGCACATTTCTAAGCATAGTAGTTTTAAAAACTTATTTCTTATAACTGATTTCTTTTATCTTTGCCTAATGACAGTAAATAATATGTTACTTGATATTTTTCAAAACACTTCTATACAGATTAAAGTGACAATTAAAGGCTTAACTAGGTTAATAAGGTTAACTAGGCAGGTTAGGGTAATTAGGCAAGTTATTGTATAACAATGGTTTGTTTTGTAGACTATCGAAAAAAAATGAGCTTAAAGGGGCTAATAATTTTGTCCCAAAAATGTTTTTTTAAAAATTAAAAGCTGCTTTTAATCTAGCCAAAATAAAACAAATAAGACTTTCTCCAGAAGAAAAAATATTATCCGACATACTGTGAAAATTTCCTTTCTCTGTTAAAAATCATTTGGGAAATATTTAAAAAAGAAAAAAAAATCAAAAGGGGGCTAATAATTCTGACTTCAACTGTATATATATATATATTTATGCATTCATTTTCTTTCCGGCTTAGTCCCTTTTTTAATCAGAAGTCGCCACAGCGGAATGAACCGCCAGCTTATCCATTATATGTTTTACACAGTGGAGGCCCTTCCAGCCGCAACCCAAAACTGGGAAACACCCATACACTCTTGCATTCACACACATATACTAAAGGCAATTTAGCTTATTCAATTGACCTATCGCGCATGACTAAAAATAAACAACTGTCTGAAGTATGAAAACAACAACAATGTAACTGTGCATGATTATGAATATATATAATAATTTTGTTTTACACTATAACTATATAATTATAAACAATTTTTGATGATAAACATTAATTTAATTAATGTTTGAAAGTAAATCATAAGCACAACATTTACATTTGATTGACAAGAATTGCTTTTTGAAATTGCTTATTAAAATGACTAATGATAATTCATTAATAACATTAATATGCAAATGATAACACTTGTATGCAAAGAGTAAAAATACAAAAACATCTGCAACATAGTATTATAATAAATTTAATGTATTGTTATATGCTAATAATACAAACTGCGGTGGCGCAGTGGGGAGTGCTCTCGCCTCACAGCAAGAAGGTCACTGGATCGAGCCTTGGCTGGGTCAGTTGCCGTTTCTGTGTGGAGTTTGAATGTTCTGCCAGTGTTTGTGTGGGTTTCCTCCGGGTGCTCCGGTTTCCCCAACATTCCAAAGACATGCGCTATAGGTGAATTGGGTAAACTAAATTGTCTGTAGTGTACGTGTGTGAGTGAGTGTATGGGTGCTTTCGGGTGATGGGTTGCAGCTGGAAGGGCATACACTGCATAAAACATATACTGGATAATTTGGTGGTTCATTCCACTGTGGCAACCCCAGATTAATACAGAGACTAAGCCAAAAAGAAAATGAATGAATGAATGAATGATACAAATAATTATAAAATAATATTTAAAAAGACAAAGTAGAAAAATATTAATATAAAAATGAAAACAATATGACAAAAATAATTCATTATAATTCTATAAAAAATATAAATACACTGATTAAAAGAATTGTTTATTACTATTCATTTTGTTATTAGTATTATTAGCATGTCGATTATTGATTAAATAATAGTATTAATTAAGTTATAAATAATCAATACATTTTTATTTGCAGATACATTTTTATTAGGGAGTCATGAAATTTCAAGAACCATTAAACTTGCCAAAGATGCAATTTTAAATAGCAAAAATAGTTTGTTTGTTTTCTTTTGATATCCAAAGATGTTTGGACAAAGCGGAGCCCTGTTTTACACTTTAATGTTTGTATCTGTCAGGTCTTCTAAATCACGAACGCACTGAGCGATTTGTGGAGCGATTATTTCTGTGGTTTTTATTTTATTATGTGTAAATGCGCTATATAAAATACACATTACATTACAATACATTTTTATTATTAAACTTTTGTTGTTAAAGCTAAAAAGTAATATTATTGTGCTATTATTTAAATTTTAATAATAATAATAATAAGAGTTACAAAATAATATCAAAATGACATTTTTTAGAATAAACAGCAAAAAACATTCCAAGGCACTTGAAAAATGTGGGAAAATATTTTTTTTTAAGTTTTTTAATAGTTTTTTAAATTTTTCGAGTGTCTTGGACTGATTTTTGTTGCTTATTCTGGTGAATCCCTTACCCAAAGAGCACCGACGCTTTATTTAAGCTTTGACTTTTATCAATTGTTAGATTTTTAATATAATAATGAAAACAATAATGCACAATAATTGTAACCACAGGAAGTGACGCTGACAACAGAGGTGCGGATCCACATGCAGTTTTAATAGCAAGGTCAGGTAAGCAGTGGTCAATACAGGGGCAAACAGATGTATGCAGGCAATCCATGAACGTAGTCAAAGTAACAGGCAAGAGGTCAGATGGCTGGCGGTAGGCAGGGATTAACAGATTAACAAGGTGAGATTAAAAACACGGGAACACAAGACAAAGTAAATGTCACTAAGTGTAAACAACACTCGGCGACTGGAGTGAGTGTGTGTGCTGCATAAATAGTGTGTCTAATCAGTCCTTGACAATCCTCCGGTGGTGCGTGTGTAATCCATAAGAATATGGAACATCTGTGTGTGAGCGGAGTGCATGCATGAAGTTGTAGTCCAACAATGGCGGATTTGTAGTCCATAAGTGATTGTAATATGTGAATGTAATATATATATATATATATATATATATATATATATATATATATACACTGATTAAAATAATTGTTCATTGTTTATTCATTCTGCTATTAGTATAATTTTTACAAATTTATTTGAATTAAAAATTAATAGTATTAATTAAGTAACAAATAATGTTCATTAGCAGCTACATTTTTGTTATGGGTCCATGAAATGTCAAGAATCTGCAAACTTCTGTCCAAAAATTCTATTTAAAAAAAGCAAAAATCTGAGTTAATGTTGGTATTTGGATATGTTTTCAGTCCTGTTTAATGCTTTCAGTGTTTGTATCTTTCAGGTCTTCTATATCACAAGCGCACTGAGCACTTTGAGGAGCGCCCGTACGCCTGTGAGGAGTGTGGAGCTAAATTCGCTGCCACCTCGTCTCTAAAGAACCACATGCGTCTTCACACCGGAGAAAAGCCTTTCCACTGCAAACACTGCGACATGAGCTTCTCTGTGGCCGCCGCTCTGTCCTACCACACAAAGAAGAAGCATGCAGAGGGTACCATGCTTGCACTGCTGTTTTAAAATTTCAGGCTTTTAAGTGGAAATAAATATAATGGCAACGTGTCTGAAATTGTATGTTTGCAGGTAAAATGTACTGCTGTCAGTACTGCTCGGCCTCGTTCGCACAGTCTATTGAACTGACACGTCACGTCCGCACACACACCGGAGACAAACCCTACGTCTGCAGAGAGTGTGGGAAAGGCTTCAAACAAGCCAATGGATTATCTGTGCATCTGCAGAACTTTCACAGTAAGCAAATACACACATTTAACTCTGCATTGAGATTGGCGCAGTGGGTAGCGATGTCGCCTCACAGCAAGAAGGTTGCTGGTTCAAACCTCGACTGGGTCAGTTGACATTTCTTTGTGGAGATTCCATGGGTTTCCTTTGAGTGCTCCGGTTTCCCCCACAAGTCTAAAGACATACAGGTGCATTGTGTAAGATAAATTGTCTGTGTATGTATGTAAGGAGAGTGTATGGGTGTTTCCCGGTGATGGGTTGCAGCTGGAAGGGTATCTGCTGCGTAAAACATATGCTGGATAAGTTGGCGGTTCAGTCCGCTGTGGCGAATCCTGATTAATAAATGGACTAAGCTGAAAAGAAAATGAACGAATGAATAAACACCAATGCAGAAAATCGAATAGTAGCCATAATGTGATTTAATATCATTTATCTGTCCCGTCAGATATTACAGAGCCCCACGACTGTCAGAAATGCAGAGTGAGCTTCTCTTCTCTGGATGAACTTCGACAGCACATTCAGAAGGTTCATCCCAAAGAGCTGCACCAGTGTCCCGAATGCAGCAAGATCTACAACAGCGAAGGTGCTCTGGAGAAACACATGAACGTTCATGATGGCAACAAACCCTACAGCTGCAAGACCTGCAACAAGGCCTATCAGGTAACAACCAAGCGGCAACTTCAAATACGGAAATATTATATTATGTTATATTATATTATATTATATTATATTATATTATATTATATTATATTATATTATATTATATTATATTATATTATATTACATTACATTATATTATATTACATAATATTATATTATATTACATTACATTATATTATATTACATTACATTATATTATATTATATTATATTATATTATATTATATTATATTATATTATATTACATAATATTATATTATATTATATTATGTTATATTATATTATATTATTTTATATTATATTATATTATATTACATTATATTATATTATATTATATTATATTATATTATATTATATTATATTACATTATATTATATTATATTATATTATATTATATTACATAATATTATATTATATTATATTATGTTATATTATATTATATTATTTTATATTATATTATATTATATTATATTATATTATATTATATTATATTATATTATATTACATTATATTATATTATATTACATTATATTATATTATATTATATTATATTACATTATATTATATTATATTATATTATATTATATTATATTAAATTATATATTATATTTTATTAATCATTTTTAATAAAATATTTATTCTAATAATGATTATTTGTTTAATATAATATTGAATTATTACACTACTGTGATTATTTAATTAAAGAAAAAATATAGAATTCTGTGATAATTATATAATAATTAATGTATGACTATAGCATATATATATAACTCATTATTATTCACTTGAATAAATGCAAATAATAACAATCGTAATTATTATTAGTATAACAATACAATAGTAACTTTTTTGTATTAAGCTAATATGTTGATGAAAATCATTGTTATGCATTTACTCGTCATAATTGAATTGAGTAATAGTTTAATAAAAATAAATTCAAATTTTATTTGTCACATACACAGTCATGCACAGTACGATATGCAGTTTAATGTTTATACAACCACATGTAAACCACCCTAAAAACAAAACTAATATCAATGTCAATCTAAATATGGAGTATAGAAGTAATAAAAACGTTATTAATATTATTAAAAAGCACATATTATTCGCATATATTAATAAAAGGCACATTATACATGCATATATTATTAAAAGGCACATATTATTCACATATATTATAAAAGGCACATATTATTAGCATAAATGATTAAAAAGCCCATATGGTTTGCATATATTATAGACCAGGGGTCACCAACCCTATTCCTGGAAAGCTACATTCCTGCAGAATTCATCTCCAACCCTAATCAAACACACCTGAACCAATTAATTAAGACCTTAAGCAGCCTTGATAATTACAGACAGGTGTGTTTGGTCAGAGCTTCAACTGAAATCTGCAGGATCTCCAGGTACAGGGTTGGTGACCCCTGTGATAGACTGACATGCATTCTTGCATCACAACTCGTTCTCATGTTGTGTTTTTGTGTGTGTTTGTGTTTCAGACTCTGTCAGGTCTGTGGTACCACAACCGTACGGTTCACCCGGAGATCTCCACCAGCCAGAGCAACAGATCCCTCAAAGCCCTGCTGCAGTGTGAGCGCTGTGACAAGAGCTTCACGAGCCACAACAGCCTGATAAAACACCAGATAACCAACCACACAGGTGAGCATTCATCTCAGACCTCAAAACACTCTAAGACTGTTGTGTTTGGGCAGGTTCACATTTTCATTCAGCCTGTCCACTGTTTTTGTAAAGTAATCACATTAATCTCAGACTTCAGCCATTCATTGAGCATTTCTAGAACAGGAGTGGGCAATTAATTTTTTCCAAGGGGCCACATTAGACTCTGTGGTGGTTTTAGAGGGCCAGATCAATAAAGTTAATTTGTTAAACATTCATATAAACTCTAAAATTTAAAAAAAGGAAACATTTTATTGTGGAAAGAATGGATAGATAATAACATTAACAATCTGGTAGATCTTTATGAAGATAACAAACTGATATCTTTTGATAGACTTAAGCATAAATTTAATCTGCCTAATAATCAGTTCTGGAGGTATCTACAGTTAAGACATTTCAATTCAGTTCAATTCACCTTTATTTGTATAGCGCTTTTACAATGTAGATTGTGTCAAAGTAGCTTCACACAGAAGATCATAGTAAATTAAAACAGTGTCAGTTCAGTTTTCAGTTTAGCTCAGTTCAGTGTGGTTTAATAATCACTACTGAGAGTCCAAAGACTGAAGAGCAAATCCATCAATGCGCAGCTGTACAGATCCCGAACCATGCAAGCCAGTGCCGACAGCGGCGAGAAAAAAACTTCACCAATAGGCGAAAATGAAGAATTAAAAACCTCCAGAGAAACCATGCTCAGTTGGGCACGACCATTTCTCCTCTGGCCAAACCTCTTGTGCAGAGCTGCAGTCAAGGCGCCGGAGGCTGGAAAGCTGGACCTCAGCGAAGACTGCAGAAACCTGCGTGGAGCACATTCATATATCATACCGCTAAGTGATGCCCTGAGTGTATGCTTTTCTAAAAAGATAGGTCTTTAATGTAGTTTTGAATTGGGAAAGTGTGTCTGAGCCTCGGACATTATCAGGAAGGCTATTCCAGAGTTTAGGAGCCATAAATGAGAAGGCTCGATACTCGACTTTGCTATTCTAGGTACTACCAGAAGCACTGAGTTTTGATATCTTAAAGAGCGAGTTGGATTGTAGCGAGACAGAAGGTTGGTTAGATAAACAGGAGCTTGATTATTTAAAGCTTTATAGGTAAGAGGCAATATTTTATAATCAATATGAAACCTAACAGGCAGCCAGTGTAAAGAGGATAAAACTAGGGTGATATGATCATATTTTCTAGACCTGGTAAGAACTCTGGCAGCTGCATTTAATACTAGCTGAAATTTGTTAATAGAGGATGCTAGGCAGCTAGCAAACAGAGCATTACAGTAATCCAGTCTTGAAGTCATAAAAGCATGGACTAGTTTTTCTGCATCTGAGATGGATAGCATACTTCGTAACTTAGCAATATTTCTCAGATGAATGAAGGCAGTTTTTGTGACATGGGATATATGATTTTCAAAAGTTAAATTGCTGTCTAATATGACACCCAGATCTTTTATAGTAGAGCTAACGCTAACTTATTATCCCTCTAATTGTAGGTCGGGTTGTGAGATCTACTGTGTGCAGGATTTAGGCCCAATAAGTAATAATTCTGTTTTGTCTGAGTTTAAGAGAAGAAAATTGTTGGTCATCCAGACTTTAACATCTTCAATACACTCAGCTGAAACAGAGCTGTATCATGCTAGACAGACGAGTGATTGTTAAAAAATTGGAAATCTTCCAGTAGACCTCCGATCTTCGAGTGAATCTCAGAGTTAGGACGAGTTGCAGCTTTTGTAAAACTCTCCTTCAGTTCCCATGGAAGGATTAAAATTTATTTTAATAAATGGGAAAAATTTCTACATTTCTGTGACCCACAATGTTAGCAAACATGTATTGAGACAAAATAATTATTAGTGTTATGATATAAGCAGGGCGAGGCAGTGGCGCAGTAGGTAGTGCTGTCGCCTCACAGCAAGAAGGTCGCTGGTTCGAACCTCGGCTCAGTTGGCCTTTCTGTGTGGAGTTTGCATGTTCTCCCTGCCTTCGCGTGGGTTTCCTCCGGGTGCTCCGGTTTCCCCCACAGTCCAAAGACATGTGGTACAGGTGAATTAGGTAGGCTAAATTGTCCGTAGTGTGTGTGTAAATGTGTGTGTGGATGTTTCCCAGAGATGGGTTGCGGCTGGAAAGGCATCCGCTGGGTAAAAACTTGCTGGATAAGTTGGTGGTTCATTCTGCTGTGGCGACCCCGGATTAATAAAGGAACTAAGCCAGCAAGAAAATGAATGAATGAATGATATTAGCAACCCCACCCTCCTTTTTTAAATTTTCATAGGAGAAACTGGTCAAAATGTTGCTGGTAAGTGCTGAGCTGCCAGTAATAATTTGAATAATTTAATGTCCACAAGCAGAGTTTATTAATTGCTAACATCACTAGTACTAGTACTGACCCTTTGTGTGTGTGTGTGTGTGTGTGTGGGTTCAGATGTGCACGTGTGGAAGTGTGTGAGCTGTGACTGTTCTCTGTCCAGTGAGCAGGAGCTCCAGCATCATGTTTGCAGTGTTCAGACTCCCGCGCTGTTCAGCTGTATGGTCTGTTCACTTCACTTCCCCTCTGAGCCTGACTTCCAGCAGCACTTCCTGTCCAAACACCTCCAGCTCGTGCAGGATGAAGCGCAGACACAGAGCTCCGCTTCACAGACGGTGAACACACACTCAACATCACACACAACTAAACATCTCCACAGGGCGGAAAATGGCCTTTTATTTCATGCCTGATTTGGTTTGGTGCTCAAGATATACAGTTGAAGGCACAATTATTAACTTAAAAAATATTTTAATATATAATTAAGTTTGGTGGCGCGGTGGCTCGGTGGTTAGCATTGTCGCCTCAAAGCAAGAAGGTCACTGGTTCGAATCCTGGCTGAGCCAGTTGGCATTTCCGTGTGGAGTTTGCATTTTCTCCCCGTTTTGGCGTGGGTTTCCTCCGGGTGCTCCAGTTTCTCCAACAGTCCAAACACATGCGATATAGGTCAATTCATCCATTCATTCATTCATTTTCAGCTTAGTCCCTTTATTAATCATGGGTCCCCACAGCAGAATGAACCTCCAACTTATCTAGCACTTGTTCTACGCACTTCCAGCTGCAACCCATCTCTGGGAAACATCCATACACACTCATTCACACTCATACATCACGGACAATTTAGCTTACCCAATTGACCTGTACCGCATGTCTTTGGATTGTGGGGGAAACCGGAGCACCCGAAGGAAACCCACGCAAACGCAGGGAGAACATGCAAACTCCACACAGAAACCCCAACGAACCAGCGACCTTCTTGCTGTGAGGCGACAGCACTACCACTGCGTCGCCTATAGGTGAATTAAATAAGCTAAATTGGCTGAAGTGTATGTGTGCGAATGTGAGTGTGTATAGATGTTTCTCAGTACTGGGTTAAAGCTGGAAGGGCATCCGCTGTGTAAAACATATGCTGGATAAGTTGTCGGTTCATTCCGCTGTGGCGACCCCTGATTAATAAAGGGACTAAGCCGAAGGAAAATGAATTAATAAATTCTGATTATTTCTACCGAGAACTACCATAGCGGTCAAAATGAGCGCATGTATTTCAGTGTCTGCTACTTTTCCTTGTGATTTTAAGTATGCATGACTCTGTTGCCTAGCGACTTCATGCTATCAAAAACATTACTTTCTGTTGGCAACTTTACTTCAGATATGTCTTTCAAAACAGCATATTCAGTGCCATGAAAAAGCCTTCGCTCATGCTTGAGAAAGTGAAAATCAAAGTGAGCCACGCACAATCGCAGATGGTCTAACTATACATTTGTAGGCTATATTACTAAAAAGATTGTATTTTTAGGGTGACGACTTAATTAAATATGATGACAGACATTCAAAGCTAAATGAGCAAAATCCCACAAGTAGCAGTGCGATGTGACTATATATCGGCACTAGTGGGGAGGCGTGCGTTAGTGTCCCACTGGTGAAGATATACAGCCACATTGCGCTGCTACAAGTGTGATATTGTGTTTATAAAACAGTTCAATGGCAGAATCATGTGTATAAATAAGAAAATCAAACACAATCTCAAAACCCTTTTGCAAGAGGAACTACTTATATTCATTCACATCTGCAGCTGACTATCTGAACAGCAATAACCATTGTTACTTCACCAACATCACTATAGAGCTAGTATTTGAATGATTCTCTAGCGTAATGTCTAAAGTGATGACAAAACAGGTGATTTTGCGGATATTTCAAGATTAAAAGGCTGAACAGCGTGACATGCCATCAGTCTACAGAGATTTCCCAGTATTTCTCTGTTGCTATCGGGAGATCACAATTTTACTATTGTATAAATACAACACTATAACTTACTAAAGAGAAAGATCAGGGGCCGATCACACCGAACGTGCCTTTACATTCCCAAAACGCGAGGTGCACCTTACTGCCTTTTTTGTTGACAAGAAAAAAAGTGCAATTTTTTATGTCGCTAGGCAACGACTGAATCAGCTGCTTAATGTTCGAGAGTGTTGCTGTTTATATTAATATCATTTTAATAATTAGTAATATTGTGATATTCAAGATTTGTGAAGTCATGTTACTCCAGATAACTCAAAACAGCAACGACAAGTTGCAAAATTATCCATTGTTGTCTTGACAACGCAAACACTACAGGCACTTCAACGAAAACCCCGCCTCTGCTTTCATTTGATTGGAGAATGAAACAGACGCGACTGACGTAACGTGCTTTTTCCGCTCAGAGTTGACTTTTTTCAACTGCAAGCTCACAGCACACATGGCACATAAGCAGCACGCACAATGGCACAAAAAAGGTCCCTCTCAATGCAAAAAGTGCATTCGGTGTGATCAGCCCCTTAAAAAGTCACTTACCTGTTTAATAACGATTTGATCTGCTGTAGTTTGAAATCCTTTCTCTTAGGGCTTATTATGAAGTCGCCATCTTGTGGATGGACAATGTTAGTCGTCTTTTGTCTACTCAATGACAGGCTAATGGCCGCTGACGTGCACTCTCAGAAATTATAAATATTTAAAATAGGCACTATCCTTATAAATAAACTGCATAGTTGCAATCTAAACAACTACATTCTCCAATAAAAAAAAGCCTCAAAAGTACATTATGTTGTCCAACAGCAACAATATTTGACAAACTGTAGAGTGTTCTCTGTTTGTTGCTGGATTTTGGACTCTTGTTTTGGATTTTGCAGGTGGTTCAGTGTGAAGCTGCAGCAGATCCGGCAGTGGAGCAGGTGATAAACCTCCATCAGTCCCAGAGCGAGTCCTCACAGCAGGTGTTTGTGGCTCTGGCTGATCAACAGGAGACTCCGGCCGGATCAGGAATGGTGGCGGTGAGCATGGAGGATCTGCTGAACGGTACCGTGACACTGATCTGTGAACAGAGCCAATGAAAACACTCCTCCTCTAACACTGCAGTACAGCTCACACCAATCATTATTCATTCATATGAGTTTAAATAAACAAAAAGGGTCATAATTGTGTTTCTCTTGTGGAGAATCAAGCAGTCAAAACTCATGTTCCAAAATACCATACGATGATGTCTGCGTCGTCACACTGGAAAAAAAAAAAAGGATTTCGCTGCTTGTTTGAACTACTTGTTGCATTAAAACAACACAAATTTGGAAGGTTTTTTGGGGACAACATAATTGTTTTATGTTTAATCCATTTATTTGTTTTCTTTTGTGTTGGGACTTAATAAATTATGTGCATTTTTTACATTTTTAATACATTTTTGGGGCATTTACAAATGTATTAAAATGTTCTGACTAGCACAAACAGACATATTAAAAACTGTGCGTACCCGATAGTAGGTCTGTGACGTCACTTACTTTCGCATGCTTTACATTTTAAAGGTCTGTACTGGCCCAATACCCCCATAAATGGTTCTGTTCTTTCATCAGTTGGAATAGAATAACTCTTGCATAGATTATGATCGAGACATTTTTCTTTTTTTTTCCTATCATTACTGACATGTGCAGGAACCAACAAAATTGATTACAGCAACCTAGACCACACAGAACCTCAAATATACACTTTCAAATTTGAGTTTACAAAAAAAAACACCTCTTTTTTTGGAGGAATTTACTATATCATAGACAACATATACAGATATTTTAATCACTTTTAACAGTGTTTTATGAAAATTCAAAGGGTTTTCCTTAAAATGATCCCAAACTTTTTGCATTTACACCTCTGCATGTGGATTTGGGAAGCTTTTGAATTTAAGTTGGCAAAATCCAGGCGGAAAGCCCAAAGTAGCACTTGACTATTAAACATTGACCACCTCAGATGATTTTGTGTTTGTTTTATGCATTAAAAAATGATCCATGAATGTTTTTCTGATTTTGATTTCAGTGCTGAACTTTCATTGCGTATAAATATGATTACTACAGCATCAAACCCATCACAGGAATTATATTTTGCAAATACATATATATTTGGAGGTAGGCAACCCAATGGTGCAGTAGGTAGTACTGTCGGCTCACCGCAAGAAGGTCGCTGGTTTGAGTCTCGACTGGGTCAGTTGGCGTTTCTGGAGTTTGCATGTTCTCCCCTCAATGGGTTTTCCTCTGGGTGCTCCGGTTTCCCCCACAGTCCAAAAACATGTGGTGTAGGTGAATTGGGTAAGCTAAATTGTCCATAGTGTATGAGTGTTTATGGATGTTTCACAGAGATGGGTAGCAGCTGGAAGGGCATCCGCTGCGTTAAACTTATGCTGGATAAGTTGGCGGTTCATTCCACTGTGGCGACCCTAGATTAATAAAGGGAAAAAGCCGAAAAGAAATTGAATGAATGACTGTTTGGAGGTGACTTTTCTGTGTGGAGTTTGCATGTTCTCTGTATGTTGGCGTGGGTTCCCTCCGAGTGCTCCGGTTTCCCCCAAAGACTTGCGCTATAGGTGAATTAAATAAGTTTAATAGGCCGTAGTGTATGTGTGTGAATGTGTGTATGGGTGTTTCCCAGTACTGGGTTGCAGCTGAAAGGACATCCGCTGTAAAACATATGCTGGAATAGTTGCCGGTTCATTCCGCTGTGGTGACCCCTGATTAATAAAGTAACTAAGCCGAAGGAAAATAAATGAATGTTTTTCAGCAGTAACAACGACAAGCTGTTTTGTAAATAGTGCTTAACTTTATTTTACAGAAATACATTTATAAGAAAAACCATACGACCCTTTTCTTTAAAGCATAGAGTAAAATACTCAAAAATATATATATATATTTATATAGTCGATATGCCCATAATTCACTCTAGACAACCCTGAGTCTTTGTTTGTTACATTCACGTTAGCTTTATAATTTCACAACCTGACCACATTTGTGCGGTTTCATTAAAAATGCAACAGAAACTTGCAAACAGTCTGGATGAAGGATGATCCACAACACTGCACAGGACCAAGAATAAATGCAGGACATCAATAATACAAGCATAAATAAACAAAACAACAACAAATCTGCCCCTGACTTCACAAATAAAGCATTAGATGTTACACGTTCATTTTACTGTCCAGATAAAATATCCACAGTATAAGCATCAAAGCTGTTAGCATTTTAATCATGCATGATTGGTTGATGTTTGATGGAGAAACATCAGGTAAACTCAGCATAAAATCATGTTCGTATTTAAGACTGATCATCATGCTATTGTTTAGCTTTTGATAGCATTAACATGTTTTTAGCATTTTAGCATTAAACATGTTTCTAGAATGTCGTAACATACTGTTGCTAGCATACATTTCTAGCATGGCTTTGTTTTAACAAAGCTAACACAAAATTAGCACATTTCTAAAGCTTTTTAGCACACATCTAGCATGTGTTAGATGATATGTTTTCATTTTGTTTACATAAAATTAGCATTTTATTTAAATTCACTTTCTAAACTAACATATCTGACACATTACTTGCATGTTTTAAGCATCATTTAACACATTGTTAGCACGTTTCACCATGCTGTTAGCATGTCCTACGCTAGTTGCTAAGCTTTGGTAGTGGTAGACTGCATTCCTAATTCAGGGGGGAAAGACAAAACAAGTTAAAGGAACACAATTAAAGCACTGAAATAAACTGAACTACAGCAAACGACATATGCAAGCTTACTGTAATGCGGATAACATGTTCCATGTTGCTCCCAGAATGCCGCAGTGCATGGTAAAACAACACCAGAAAACACAAGTTGCTTGTATTAAGTTATTAAAATGATACAAATACAGAATTAGTCAGTTATAGTGTCCTCATGGAGAGTATCAGTAGTCAGCATAAAGGTGAACTTCACTGCAAAGTGAGCATCAGCACATCCAGCAGGTTTAAACTAGTGTTGACTTGTACTAGTAAGTGCAGTTTAAAGGCTTAATTAGCTTAATAAGGCAAGTCATTGGACAACAGTACTTTTGTTGTGTAAAATATTTTAAAGGGGGCTAATAAAATTGATCTTAGCAGTTAACATTTTTTACTTTATCCAGAAAAATATAAAAGAAAATACTGTAAAAATGTTTTTCTCTGTTACATTGCAAATTCACAGGAGTGCTGATCATCTTTTCTTTAACTGATTATAACCAGGGTGACCAAACTCAGTCCTGGAGAGCCGGGCTGCGTCCAAAACCGCCTACTACATAGTAGGTACTGCATTTCAATTTAAACGTACTACTCGTCTGTTAGAAAAGTACGTTCTATACAGTATGAATGTGAAAAGTATGAATGGAATTCGGACCTACTACATCCGCCATTTTGTCATGGTCACGTGACACCAGTTGCGTCGCTTTACTTCCATTCATGAATTCGCTCGCGGGGCATCATGGGATAGCGCAGCATGCATGGGATGCGCACTCCGGAATCTTGCCGGAAGTAGTAAGTCATCCGGGTACTTCTCACATACTGATTTTCGAATTCTATGAATTCGGACATACTTCTCGGCTCGCATACTGATTTTAGCGTACTGTATAGTATGGAAGTATGCGGTTTCGGACGCAGCCCTGGTGTCCTGCAAAGTTTAATTCAAACCCTAATCATACACACATGTGCTCGCTAATCAAGCTCTTACGCTGCGGTCACTCTAGAGTTTGTGCATCCGAAATTTTGTTGTACGATGCTGCAAAAAGATCATTAGACATTTAAAAAAGCGAGCGATTGCTCCATATTTGAGATTTCTGTACAGAGAGGTCATGTGTTGATCCTTGATTGGTCTCACGCAGTGGCGTAGAGGACAGGCCCGCAGGGCACGCACCGTGGGGGGGCCCCGCGTGATTAGGTGGCCCCATGTCATCGACAATTAAAATTTTCAACAATTGAAAATCCGGCAACCGCAATAATCAAACTCTTGGGAACAACTGTGGACGGAACCAAAGTTCACTGGTCTGTGTTCTCTGAACGCCTCTCAAGCGGTGGACTACTTCATTCTGATTGCTTGCTGCCTAACCACGTCATAGCTCATACCATAAAGTTGACTTGATTTCAACTCTCCTCGACGCCCACACAGGAGAAGACGCGCCGTGCTGTTCCTCGCCGCCGGTTCTCATTAAAAATGAATGACTTCTGGCTACTTTGACGCTCTCACCGCTTTCGGTTTGAAATCGCTCCTCAGTACGTGAAGGCTTCCCTGCGTTGTCGCTTCACCCCCGCCCCCTTTCCCACTTCTCAGTTTGTGATCGCTCCTCAATTTATGAAGGCTTCCCCGCGGGCCCCGTCAGTGATCCCTGCAGGGGGGCCTCCGCATTTTGCGCTACGCCACTGGTCTCACGCAATCATGCGATTTCGCAGGTCACAATTCACCAAGCTTGAACTTTGCAATGCAGTGAACCTCGAAACTTGTCGCACGAGCTTGTGTTCCGGTCTGACGCATTCATGTGTGTATGAAAAGAAGTCTATGGGGAGAAAAGTCCAGTGGGACCTCTATGCTTTTTAGAAACATCCCTGCGGGTGTGCTGAAGCAAGATGGAACTAAAATCTCCAGGACACCGGCCCTCCGGGACCGAGTTTGAGAAACCCTGGTATATAAAACTGTGATCGATTTGAAATAAATGTATTTTAAATGACAAGTTTTGTGGTAAATATATTATTTCCTTATTTTATAAAAGATTGAGAATGCCTGCTGTACATAACCATTAAAAACCTTCTTAAATGTATTTTATATGTACTCATATTTAGAAAGTATCTAAAACTGCATCTATATTCAATCAGAAATAAAGCAAAAGAAAAGTGAAATCTTTAGCACATCCATCAGGCTAAAACAGAACTGTAAATATTGAAAAATAGGCATTTTAGAATTGAAAGATTTTAACAAATTTAATAAATGACCTGAGCTTTCAAAACTAATCACAAGTTCGTAAACAGCAATTTTCCTTTTGTGAAGTAACTACTGTACTGTACGCTTCACTAAGGGTTTTAGAGTAGAACCTTATGAAAGTATGTCCAAAATCAGGGGTGTTCAACCCTGTTCCTGGAGATCTACCTTCCTGCAGAATTTAGCTCCAACCCTGATCAAACTCAACTAAACCAACTTGTAGGAGCACTTGGTAATTAAAGTCTGATCAAGGTTGCAGCGGAAATCTGCAGGAAGGTAGATCTCCCAATAGTATCTGGATGCCGTGTTTATGATGCAAGCTGAGATTGCATCACTCAGCGATGCAGTGTCAGACACAGTGCACTCTATAGAGTTAGTGACGTCACTGTGATGGGTAGGGTTAGGGTTTGGTGAGCGCATTAAAAAACATCCAGGAACAGGTTTGGCCACCCAGAGGTCCTAAATGTATATAGCATGAATGCAATCTTGACATGCTACACATACTAGTGTCTGTTGTGTTTTCATAACATTCATAAATCCTCTCCTGTGCACTCATGAGAAGTGTCCATCATATTTGCAAAAAAAAAAATTTCTGCAAGGTTGTTTTATTAATACTTTATATTTGGACACTTATATTCTGCATCCTTTTTTGTCTTTTTTTTAAACATGAAATAAACATCAAATCTTCTGAATTTATAGGATTTATAAGCAGGGTGCGAATTAGAGGGGGTTTGGGGAGGATTGACCCCCTAATAATGCTTCCTTTAAGGCAGCTTTAATGGTGAGAAATGGTTTGTAAATAATAATGTTAATAATTAAAATAATAGATAATATACAGTTGGTCAGAATTATTAGCCCCCCTTATTATTAGTTTTTTTTTCCCGCAATTCGTGTTTAATGGAGAGAAAAAATATGTAACAAATTTTTAAACAGTTTTAGTAACTCATTTCTAATAACTGATTTATTTTATCTTTTCCATGATGACAGTAAATAATATTTTACTAGATATTTTTCAAAACACTTCTATACAGCTTAAAGTGACATTTAAAGGCTTAACTAGGTTAATGAGGTTAACTAGGCAGGTTAGGGTAATTAGGCAAGTTATTGTATTATGATGGTTTGTTCTGTAGACTATAGAAATAATATAACTAATAATTTTGACCTTAAAATAGTAAAAAAATAAAAAATAAAATGCTTTTAATCTAGCTGAAATAAAATGAGTAAGACATTTCTGTGAAAATGTCCTTGCTCAGGTAAACATCATTAGGAAAATATAAAAAAAAAGGAGGGGGGGGGGGGGGGGGTGCATAATCGCACCAGTCAGTCTGTGAGAAAAAACTCATTCAACAGTCTGAAACTAGCAGATCTAGAACGCCAATGGACAACGTAAGCTTAAAAGTAAAGTCAAATTAGATGCATTGTTTCACTTACAGGATCTGATTAGCTACTTCTGAGGTTACTGTGGCTCAGAATACGCTAAATATCCTAGAAAACACTGAAAACTTAAATACATTTAATTAATAAATTAGATATAATTTAAATAAAAGCTTCAGTGAATCCAATTTATGTACTCATTACACAAACTAACAACAAAAAATATTGACTCCCGATCGCCAATGTGTAATTCGCACCCTGCTTATAAGGTATGGATTTGAGTGAAGCGTCATTTTGTTTTGTAAAAGTCTGATAATATTTGGTTAGAATAAGAAATGTTTTCATTTGCTGTGACTTGAAATTGTAATTTACAATGATTTATTTTAAAAAGAAGAAGAAAATAAGCATATTTCATGTCAAAAAAGCTGTAAATTTAAACTTTTTTGTCTTAAATTTGAGAGAAATGTCATCCGTAGTTTAAAGTATAAAGCAAAAATGATGTCTAACTCAAACTCTATAACCAAACTATTAATAGTAAATCCAGAGAGTAAATCTGTTTTTTTTATGGTTTCCTGAAGAAAAAAAAGAAAATGCTATTATATATGAAATTATATCCATGTGGGAAATGTTTTGTGCATATGGACATGCCAAAAAAAAAAATCTTGCAACATTTCCAAAAGGATCATACTTTCACATCGAGGATAACTCTTCATAAAAGAGTCCTCAGATCCCTATTAAATGATATTAAATATTAAAACATGATGCAGATCAGTGACATCTCTACCGAGTCTTCAGCTGGTGATCTTCTTCTTGGGCAGAAAGGCACTAGTGATTTGATTCATCACCACTAAAGCAGGAAACAGCGACAGGAACAGGAAGACGTACCAGAAAGTGCCGGTCACCGAGGCCTGAAACCAGTCCGTAAACATGGCGGACATGAGCGTGACGGTGGCCAGCAGGTACGCCACCAGACCACAGGTAGCATGATAAAGTCTCAGCCGGGGGAAAGAGCGAGTGCTGATGAGTTTAGGGAAGATCAGCAAGACCCCGCAGATGGCTTGCAGAAGCGTAGTGGCCATTGTGGAGACCCCCAGGTAGCTGTGCCAGGACTTGAAGTGTTGATGCTCCTTTATGTTCTTACTGGCCACCATGAAGCCCAATCCTGTGGCTCCGCAGATGAGCAGTAGAGCCTGAAAAAACCAGTGCAGACGAACCTTCCACTTGCGAGACTTGAAGCAGAACGGACTGCCCTCAGCAGAGAACAGCAGGATCCCTTCTGTCATACACAGACCAAACTAAAACACACAACAGACAACTTTAAATCAATCGCGTTTCAATTAATGCCCAATATTTGAAGACTGTTGTACAGTGGAAAAAAAGACTTTTGCAAAATTGTTGCAAACAATTTATATGGGCTGAATTTAAGTATAGTTTTATAAACTAATTTCGAGAGGAGCATGTGATATGACTGATTACGGCTGATCTTTTATTTGTTATAAGCAACAATCCAATCAGATTGATCCAAGTCTACAATTAATAGACCGATTTCACCCTACTGCCTTCGTTTTAGAAGGATTCCCCTTTTCACCCAATCTCTTCCTTTTCCAGGGGAGCTCTCGAGACCTACCTAATCTCAGACCCATGGGCCCTGGGCTCAATTATCTCTGAGTTTAGGGTTCTCTTTAAGACAGCATGCCAAACCTACTAATGACATCAATCAATATCTAAGTGTGAACTATTGAAACAAACAAATTCAACAGAGTTACGTTCAACTTAATTTGATTGTTTAAATTCAGCTCATATCAATTGTTTGCAACCACTTAACTTAAAAAAAATGTAGTAAATCCAATAAATCGTTGTTATTTTTCAATGTATGTGAATTATACTTTTAACAAAACACAAACCTATTAGGATATGGCTGCAATATTACGTTGTTTCAGCTGATCGTTGGACTTGATGTTAGTATAAAAAAATGTTGTGTTTATGACTAGAATACTAGAATAGAATGACTAGAAGACTAAAACAGTAGATTTAATCAATAATTTCTAGTGCTGGGCAAAGATTAAATCATGATGAATCGCATCCAAAACAAAGTTTTGTTTTGACATAAGATGTGTGTGTGTTATTATTATATATATATAATATAATATTTTTTTTAAAAGGTTTTTGCAACACACATACATAAAATAAAAAACGGATATATAATTGTATCGTACACATACATATATATATACTGTATATATATATATATATATATATATATATATATATATATATATATATATATATATATATATCGAAATATAAAGAAAATGTTCTCAAATATACGCATGCATGTGTGTATTTATTCATTCATTCATGCTGGATAAGTTGTCGGTTCATTCCACTGTGGCGACCCCGGATTAATAAAGGGACTAAGCTGACAAGAAAATGAATGAATGAATAATGATTGATAAGTGATGATAAATAAAAAATAGCAGTGCAAATTCATTTGACTTGTAAATTTGTATCAATATTAACTATTTTAAAAAGATCTGTTTTGTGTTAATGTGACATGTTTCTGTCAGATATTACATGTTTCATGCATACTGCCACTATAAATAAAAGTCACTTCACTTGATTTGCAAAACTTGATGTGGCCCTCGGGTCTAAAACGTTAACCCACCACTCATCTAGCAGCATAATCTATTTTGATATTTCAAAAATAAAGCAAAAAAAAAAAGTTAAATTATGATATATTAATTATTTCAGCAGCCATTATTTACATTATCTTTACAATATGAAAAGTGTATGAGACATGCCTATATTATTATTATTATTATTATCGATGATGGAAACAATTGTGCAAACTAATTTTTTTTATTTAATCAAACATTCCAATCATTAGCAGTTACTTGAAACTTTTCTCCAACAATGAAAGTCTTTAGTGTCATGTTGATCACTAATGCTGCATGGCTGAAACATTAATGTCTTTCTTTAACTGTGAAAAAGCTTGTAAGCAGTACTGCATATGAAGACTCATTGCCAGTACAGACTCATCTACTGTCCTCTCCATGCGTCAGCATGTGTGAATGACCTGACAGATCTCTGTTAGCAGAGAAGTGAATGTGTTGTGTTTGTCATTGAGGTCAGTGGAATCAGACTAATTCCACTGTCTTTGTGTTTCAGCACAGGCTATTCATTATTTACTATTGGCATGTTTAATTCATCCCCGCAGAGCTCAACATCACTGAAACGCACTGAATTATTCAAAACGCCAGGAGTGATTAGAACAAAGGAAATCAGACTTTTATCAATGTATGGCTAAAAATATGATGGAGTGTGTAATCAGATGAGTATTTAGCTTTAAAACTCACCCCGAGTGACATGCAGACAGGATGCCAGGAGAACAGACCTGAAATCAAACACAGCATAAATACGTGAGATAAACAATACGGATTTTTGGAAAGATTCATTCATTTTGATTTTAGCAATTTAAAACTTTCTACATAAGAAACCCCTAACATAACTTAATGTACAGCTCAGAATTACTATGGTAAAAATTACATTTACACTTATGGAAAAAACAAAACAATTTAGAGACCACTTAGAAATTTTCAATTTCGCTGGATTTATGATTTATAGTCAAGTGCAGTTTTGTTTTATGCTGTAAGCTTGTTATTTTATGCAAAAATATCATTGAAGTGTGGCATGTTTGCACAGTAATGACCAAATGTTGTAAATGCTTTACCTTTAGAAGAGTTAGGAACTCAATACTTGGTGCAATAACCTTCATTTTCAGTCAATTCAATTTCAATTTACCGAAATCATTTGTTATTCTTCTGCACATCTGTCATTTAAAACACAATAAATTACAAATGTTTACTTAAAATTTTGAATAATTAATCGTTTCGCGTATAGTTATAAAAGTGATTTTATATATGCATAATGTGTCTAAGCTTTTTAAATAACATTTGTGAAAAAAAATGTTAAAACATGACCAGAGTAAGATTAAACAATGGGAAATTAAGACATTGGAGGGCCTGATCAAATTTATTCCAGAACAAAAAATTGTAAAACTTTTTTCCCCCACCTAATTTTGACTCATTAACTCCTCACTAAAACACAAAAAATGCAAATAAAAACTGCATAATGACACAAATGTTAAATATTAATGCTAAGAGGTCTCATTTGTAATTTATAAAATTAAACAAAAACGTCATATATAAATTTATCAATCAAAACCAAAGAAGCTGAGAAGAGTTTTCTTAACTTTTAAAAAATATATTCATGTAAAAACATACTTATTTTGCCCTGCAAATATTAAAATATATAAAGTGATCATCATACAGAATTGAATCATATTTTAAGTTACTAAAAATGTATTCCAGACAAATGAGTAAAATTTAGTGGCTTTAAAATAGTGGTAAAAGATGCGCATATTAATTTACAACTGATTATCGCTCTGCTCTGTAATAATGAAAATTGTATTGTGTGTAAATATTGTCTCTGTGAAATTTTTGTTTTAACCCAAGAAAAATGTTTGCTCCTCTAGTAAAACTTGTTTGCTCAGGAAAAAAAACATAACTGAAGGATACATTCTAACGTAGGCTACCCAGATTATGGGCAAAAAAGTAGCACACTTTTATAGATTTGATGCTTGAATACCCTTTGTTTTTGTCTTTTATATCAATCCATGTCTATAATGACCAATAATCTGTGTGGGATTTTAAGTGATGATTATTTACATAAATTATTGTTTTATACAGTGTTTCCAATACACCACAAAGTACAATAGTACCTTAAGGTAACTTACTATGTAACGTTAAATACCATTCGTTTGCCTCAGATCTTCTAAAACTGTCAACTTACAGTATATGTATCGAAATGCTCAAACAAGTGAAAACATATGAAAATAAAGCAATTAAATGTTTCCAACACGCCATAAAGTACCATATTAACCTAAAATAAATTACCATGCAACATTAAATATCATTACTTTGTCTAACCACTTTAAAAACTGTCATCGTACATACACCAAAAATCCTCAAACAGGTGTAAACTTACACAAATTAAGCAATTAAATGTTTCCAATATGACATAAAGTACAATATTATCGTAAAGTAACTTACCGTTTAACGTAAAATAGCACTATTTGCCTCAGTACTTCTAAAACTGTCATTATAAATGTATCAAAATGCTCAAACAAGTGTAAACATGAAAATGAAGCAATAAAATGTTTCCAATATGCCATAAAGTACCATATTATCGCAATGTAACTTACCATGTAACGTTAAATAGCATTACTTTGCCTCAGAACTTCTAAAACTGTTACCGTATCAACATGCTCAAACAAGTGTAAACGTATGGAAATTAAGAAACTAAATGTTTCAAAAAAGCCATAAAGCACCAAAATATATTATAGTTACTTACCATGTTACATTAAATAGCATTAGTTTGCCACACTGCTTTTTAAAATGCCACCATACATGTATTTAACACTCTCAAACAGGTGTAAACATACGCAAATGAAGCAATAAAATGTTTCTAATACGCTATAAATTATCATATTATGCAAAAAACAACTTGCCATGCAGGGTTAAGTTACTTCTAAAACTGTAATTGTATATGTATCAAAATGCTCACACAAGTGTAAACATACGAAAATGAAGCAATTAACGTTAAATGATTCAAAAACCCCATAAAGAACCATATTATCTTAAAGTAACTTACCATGTTACATTAAATACCATTACTTTTGCCTCAGTATTAAAAACTGTATCTTGCTTAAACAGGTGTAAACATCTTCAAGATAATATGCTACTCTATGTCGTATTGGAAACATTTTATTGCTTTATTTGAAGTAACTGAGAATGTAACGAATTAATTTTCCTCAGTAACGTTACTTCTAAAACTGTCATCATATATGTAACGTTACCAAAATTGCTCAGATAAGTGTAAACAAACACAACTGAGGCAATGAAAGGTTTTCTTATACTCCATAAAGAATCAAACGTAGTTCCTGTCTATTTTAAATCAATCTAATAAACCTTGGAAATTAAAATGAAAACTAAAAATAATTTTAATTTTCAAGTTTTTTTATTTATTTGAAATCGGCAGGAACTATATTCCACATTAAAACTGTCCTCACATTTGTACCAAAAATGCTCAAGCAGGTGTAAACAGACAAATGAAGAGAAATAGCTCACTTGTTCCTGGTCTGGACAGTATGGATGTGAGAACGACCAGGCCGAGAGAAACGATGTGCGCCGCGACCACCGACAGCCGGCGGAGCCACACAAAGATCCGAAACTCCCGCATCCCGAGTCCTTCCCCGACCGCACTGTACTTCACATCCATCGGGGAGCGCATCCCTCGCGCCATTCCCAGACACTTCACATCCAACACAGATTACAGATGAACAACTACCTCGAGAGTCATTCCTACAGAGTTTCACAAAACCTGGAGTATCCGCGTAACATACCAACTAACAAACTCTCCTCATTTTAAAAGCCGAGCTGCAGTGGAAAGGTGGGTTTTCCTGTTTAAGTGCCATTTTCGGTGTTGTTGTTGTGAAAGTGACACTTGGAAATGCATTTCCTGGAAAGGAATCCTACTACGGTAAAGGATTGCTTATTAATATTAAGGAGCCATGCCGTTGCGATTGGAAGGTTACCAAGCAACGCGAGATTGGGGTCATTAATATTCAAAAGCAGGGCGTTCGGCATTGGACAGCAGTTAGAGGACGTCAGCAGAGTGTTTGTAATATTCAAACCGAACATGATACGTAAGCCTAATCTACTTAAATATTCATGAGATAAGCTTTTGCCAGCGTGTGCATGACATTTTTAAGAGAAATAGATCACAGAGACACCTAATGGCGAATCGGTGACCCCGTACACACAAACAAAGAGCATTTATTTCCTCTCCATACAATTATTTCCTATCCGGGGGAATAAAGTTATAAACTATACTCTTTCTAAACATCTGTCTCGTGTTTTATTTGTCCTCTACAGCAATACACTGTCATAAGTCTGTTGAATGCATTTTTATGCAACATGGTTGACGAAAGTAGTCTAACTAATAAATGGTTGTTATAAATGTACCTTCACTGGTCAACATTTGGTGTAGGTAATAAGTTAATCAAAGATGCCCTGACATAATGATAATGTTATGGTTGCTACATAACTATTTATTATTATTCTGTATGTTTAAAACCAGCAGAATATATTACATATTTAACATGTCATGAACTTATACTGTTCAAGAATCTGCCTAATAAAAAGGTCATAAGACAAGAATAGGTTTTGTTTTTGTTTTATGTCAAACTACTGTAGGTTTTAGGTCGACTACAGCAGGTATAGGCTACCTATATTATAATATTGGTAGTCAGAGTTATTTTAATATTAAAAAAATACATACATACATACATACACACACACACACACACACATATATATATATATATATATATATATATATATATATATATATATATATATATATATATATATATAAAGTCAGAATTATTATTCATCCCTGTTAATTTTTTCCCCATAATTTGTTTAACAAATTGACATATTTCTAATCATAATAGTTTTAAAAACTCATTTCTAATAACTGATTTATTTTATCTTTGCCATGATGACAGTAAATAATATTTGAGCAGATATTTTTCAAGACACTTCTATACAGCTTAAAGAGACATTTAAAGGCTTAATTAGGTTAACTAGGCAGGTTAGGGTAATTAGGCAAGTTATTGTATAATGATGGTTTGTTCTGTAGACTATCGAAAAAAATTGCTTAAAGGGGCTAATAATTTTGTCCCTAAAATGGTTTGTAAAAAATTTAAAACTGCAAATGGCCTCCACAGTCACCAGATCTGAATCCAACAGAGCACCTTTGGGATGTGGTGAAACAGAAGATTCACATCATGAATGTGCAGCTGCCAAATCTGCAGCAACTGCGTGATGCTATCCTGTTAATATGGACCAAAATCTCTGAGGAATATTTCCTTTACCTTGTTGAATCTATGCCATGAATGATTCAGGCAGTTTTGAAGGACAAAAGGGGGTCAAACCTGGTAATAGTAAGGTGAACCTAATAAAGTGGCCGGTAAGTTTACACGAGTGTGTGTGTGTGTGTGTGTTTGAAATAGCATATACAAAATATCTTTTTCTAAAGAAAACATTAAGAGAAATCGACAGTGCTGAGTATAAAGAATATTTTAATCCATTTTATAAACAACATTTACGTAGCAGCATTGTTCAGTAGATTCTGAGGTATTTTCTGAATTCACAGAGAAATTCACGCCCCCATCTGGTTCATACACACCCACAAACATACATACATACCAACAAACTGACATTCAAAGTAGCATTCACACACACACATGCGCACACGTACAGTCAAACATCCCGAGACCTGCGTCCATAGCTCTGTATGGTAGAGTTCATAGGGCTCGCTCTTTTAGTGGCTTGTAAGGCTGGCACTCTCAGTGGTGCAATTTTGGCTGTAGAAAAAGACAACAGAGAACAATTATTATGATAATCAACCATATGAACAGTTTTGGAAATCTAAAATTATACCTAAACCCCTCCGATAGAAATATGCACAGTATATGTGTATTCCAGCCAAAAGTCTTACGCTCAAAAAGACTGCATTTATCAACATGCAGTACAAAAGGGAAACATCACAGGCTGTTAATATGTTGTGAATTATTACAATTATTAATACAGTTACCGATCACATACAAGTGTTTTACTTTAATACATGGTCATTTTTTGCAGTTATTATTGCATCATGGTCATGTGTGTGATTTTTATGCTTTTGATATTAACAAACATTTTTTTAAAAATTAATTTTTTTCTTTATTAATTATCAATGTTGAAAAAATGAATTATGTTTAATATTATTGTGCACACTGAGATACACAGTACTGCTTTCAGAAAGTATTCATTTCTTTCAAAAAAAACTATGAAGAGCCTTTCACTAGCCTACCGCCCCATTCACACGGGGCTACAGCGTCAATGCTTGACAGAGGGCGTGTCTGAAGTTGGGGCTGACGCGATCGTCATAGTAGCGTTAGCCAATGAAATTAGTCAGCAGTAGGCCACAGTCTGAGCTGGTGTATTTACATAGAGCGATCTGATTGGCTGACGCTTCCGTCGCCGCTTGAAAAGTTTAGCAAGTCCCAATGTTTGCAGCGAGCAACGCCTGACGTCACCCATTCAAAGTGAATGGGAAGCGTTGACGCTGACGCCCCGTGTGAATAGGGTGTAAATGAACAGACATTTTAGACTAACTTGATCATATTTACTAGTAACAATTTAATTTATTAGTAACAATTATTATTATTCTATAAAATTATTAATAAATTCTACTAGTTTAAATAAATGTATAAAATATTCATTTCAAATATGCATATAATAAAATGGATGATTAAAAATATTTAGTTTTAAAATGCATTTCAAGAGTTCACACTTCGATATCGCTTGATAATAACAGCAGGTTGGGCATGCTGGCCGGAGTTCGGAGACATTTTAGCCCAGGGCTCCTCTGGTCAATGAGCATGTGAGGAGTCCGAGACCAGGTAGGTCTCAAGAGCTCCCCCTGGTAAAAAGAAAAAAGAAAATAATGGCTATTTATAGTGCCTTTGGAATAATCCAATTGGCTTACTAATGATTACAGATGAGATACCAGCCGTGATCAATTATATCACGTGCTCCTCTCGAAATTAGTTCAAGAGTTCACACTTAGCTGATGATTGATTATAAAGCTTGTTTGGCGTGCTGTTCCGGGAGAGAGCCGTGAGCTCATAAGATCCTCGAGCCCGGGGCTCCCTCCCGTTTGCAATTTGAGAGGGGAGTTTGAGCTCAGGTAGATCTCGAGAACTCCCCTGCTGTAGTGGCTAATGAACAGATGGTGATTGCTCTTAAGAGATAACGACTTACTAGGAGCATGTCTATGGTGTCGATTTGGATTTAGTCAATTAACTTAAGTTGCATGTTTTTAGACAGTGGGAGGAAACCAGAGAACACGGGGGTAACCCACGTGAGCACGGGGAGAATGTGCAAACTCCACACAGAAATGTCGGCTGGCTTGGAAAGGGCTAGAACAAGTGATGTTCTTACTGAGAGGCAACAGTGCTAACCACTTTGCCACCCATCTAGGAAAGGAGGAGAAGTAAGGGAGGAAGGGGGGATTCTTCAAAACAAAGATGGCTGTGATGTGGAACTTAGGGTATTTATAGTGGCTTAGAAATCATCTGATTGGTGAATCAGAAATTGAATACTGCAGGGCCGGCTGCAAGCAATCATCAGCACGTGATCCTCTCCAAACTAGTTAAATAAATGAACTTAATTATATAAACTTCACTTTACTGAAATATGTATATTTTAAAGGGAACAAATGTTTAATATACACACAAATATGTCAATAAATGGAATATATATATATATATATATATATATATATATATATATATATATATATATATATATATATATATATATATATATATATATTTTTTTTTTTTTTTTTTTATATCAACATATATGAAGATTTTAACAAGTAAAATTATTACATAAATAAATATCAATGCAGATAAATTAAGTATGGGCTCACTTGTACACATTTATCTGCAAGATTGAGAGTTAATTTTTTTTCTCAAAAAATAAAAATAAATTTTACTGGTTTAAACAAATGTATCAAACATCTTTCATAAATAATTCTACATCTTTTAGACATGCATAACACAATGGATTTTTTAAATTATTTAGATTTATGAGGCATTTCACTGCTCCGTGCATATTTAAGGGAACAAATCTATAATAGACATGCAAATATATGGCAATAAATAAAAAAAGAAAAATCCTTCAAAATATTCACTTATATAACTCTCAAATTATGACCAAGTAAAAATAACGCAATACAAATAAAAGCAATGCAGATAAACTAAGTATGGGCCCACTAGTACAAATTCATCTGCAAGATCGAGAGTTAATAATCTTTTAGTCAAAAATGAAAAGTCTAATGAATTCTACTGATTGAAAACAAATTTATAAAATATCCATCTTAAAAATAATTATACACATTTTAAATACGCATATTATCTAGTTTTATAAGGCGCTTCATTGCTACATGCATATTTAAAAGAACGAATCCATAATAGACATGCAATTATGTCAATAAACGGGAAAAATATTTATTTTAATAAAATATTAACATATATAATATGTCTTCCAATATAATATATAACTCTGAATTCATAACAAAGTATAAATAAATAAATAAATAAATAAATAAATAAAATACATATATAAACAAAATCAATCCAAATGAAGTCTGGGCCCACTTGTACAAATGTATCTGCAAAATGGATATATATATATATGTTTTTTCCAAAAAAATCTAATTAAAATTAAAAAAATAAAATTAAACCTGGGTATAATAATAATAATAACTAGAATTGTACATTTCCTAAAGGAAATGTGAATGGGGTTTGCGTGGCAAATCGATGGGGTACAAAATGGTACTAAACTGGGCAAAATAGCAGTAAATGCAGAGAAATGGTTAAATTCATGTGTTTATGTGGTTGCTAGGGTAATGTAAATGGTTG